CGGATCCCTTTTGGTAGACAGACTTCTCCTTCTAACAGCAGCAATTGGATCTGTTCAGTATTCAGTACGAAAACAAACACGCAAACCAGGAAACAGCAAAGAATAAGTAAAACCTTTTGCACAACAGATTATGCACCAATTAGGCAGCAAGACTCAATCGGTAAGAATAAATACTCCTGCCTCACCAACTTTCCCCTTGCCTTTCACAATCAAATTATTTTCCTTCTTCCCCAGTAATACTTAAGCTTCCCTTCCCTGAATTAGGTGAGAGTGAGTCATACCTAAGTGGGAAGAGCAGTCAACAGATGCTAACCTCAAAACCAAATGAGGGAATGTTTACAGGAAGAGGTATGTATCAGCCACAGCTCCTAACAGCAGCAGAACACAGCCTTTGTTTTGATAATAAAGTCTAAGCAGTAAAAGGGAGCCACAAAGCTTTGGATAAAAGAAGCCAGTCTGTTCTGTTGCTGCTATTTTGGCACTTTCAAAACATACAAAGAAAGCTTGTCTCTTACAAGTCACACAGCTAGACAAGTAGAATACATCTCCTGCAGAGCTTCCTAGATTAAAGATCTACCTGACACATTATTCTCTTCCTAAAAGCCCACCTACCAAGCCATTTAGGTGATGCTTAAAGGGGTTTTGCTAATAGTTGCCACAGCACACAGGTCTCTGAAGGATGATGGGAAGCTGTAGCTGGAAGCCGGTGACACACAGGAAAACATTCTTCAGTCATCGCTTATTTAGACAAGAGTAACCAGTGTTCATTACTAAAGTGCTTGTACTGAGGAATCAGCAAAATATAATGCAGAAACTATTGCCAGGATTGCTTAAAATTAATTTCATCTTCAGGATGAAAGTGAAATTATAAATAAACTTCTGTATAAAAGATCAAAAAAAGTGCTCATACAGCATTTGTGCATCCCTTTAAAAGCATTCCCTATTCCATCCAATCATTACTAATTGAAGGGCGGATAAGCCACATCCACGCCACCTAGGCAACTGTCAGGGATACAGGATAAGGAGAAAAAATTATACAGGCAGAGAGAATTTTATTACAGATGCTGGAGAAATAATAGCAACCAAAAAGATTTTGAAAGTGTTTAGCATTACAATTGAGAAAACTACGTCTGAAACTGGGAAAACCCAAGCACAAATTTAAAAAAATGGCTTAAAAATAATCCTGGTGATGCACACAATCAAATATGCAAAAAAGACTTTAGGTCTTCATTCATATCCATGGGAAAAAGGAGAGAGGTAAAGTGGAAAAATACAAAAAAAAGAAACAAAAGGGTTTGGGTGAGTATCATTGGCAGGAAACCCTATCACAAAGACAGGACGGAATCCAGGAATGTCTTCCTGCTTCTGCCTACATCCAAGCCAGAACCTGAGTTATGAGACCAGGCCCCAGACTTCATACCTGCTTTAAGGACCTGCTGACCTAAACCTCCTTGAGACCGATCTAATCAACTGTTTAAAGCAGCATCAGCAACTGGAAGGGTGGGTGCAGAAGAGATTCCCAGTGGAGCCAAACCACATGGGTTTTCAGTACAGTTGAAGGAAAGAGACTGATGTCACACAGAACTTAAAGGAAGAGGTACAGAGATTGATTACATATAGCTTGATACACCACCACAGCAGCACCAAGTCTTTCTCTGGAAATGAAATGGAGATAAAATAGAGGCTTTTTGAAAAAGCTGCTGAAGACTACCAGTCTGGTGTTTCCTGTCTCCACTTCACATGGACAAGAAATTGTGGATCATTCCCAGTGTCTGCAAACTTCAGAGTGTATCATGTGATTTCCCTCTGTAGCCCTGCCAGAAGTTTCTTGCTGCAGTTTGTTCTCTTAAACATTTTGTCTTATATTTTAGCTCTCTTTTATTAACCAATTAAACAGCAGCTTATCAAGATTATTTTCTTTCCCTTCCCTGTGGTTCCTTGGCAATCCATGCTGCCTTTATGTCCTGTTTTGGGAAATGCTAAGACTTAGCAGGCAGGAAATGTTGAGGAACATGTATTTGTTTACACGTGTAAGACAGGGTAGATGGGCACACAGGCACTCACAGCAGCTCAGGTGCAAAGCCTTCATAAGTGAAAACAAAGTAAAATAGCTTTTCTAATTAAAGGTGTAAAATCAGCATGTGTTTTAAATACCTCCACAGAGCCTGCTTGGTAGAACACAATTCAACTCTTTTGCCATTAAATAGCAAGAATTAAGTTTTTGTTTACCTTCTGATAAGTAACTAGATAGTTTGATATGAGAAAAATACAACCTCTTTGCTTGACAAGCCTTGCAGTGGGATACCTGGAAATACACATGTACAATATGAAGTGTATGTGTGTGTATATATATATACTCATAAAGCTCACACAAATCCCTCAAATTAAGAAACAATCTGTTAATGCTGCTTCATGAAAATTCAAAATAGTTCAATTCAGGGGAGATTTCGTAGTAATTGTAGTATGAAAATACATGCTCTTTGTCAGTGGGAAAGGTTTAAGCACAACTGCTATATCCCAGATCTTCCTGAACTCAAGACTAGGCAGCTGTGGAGCCAGAGCACATTGGCATAGCAGCTGGAAAGCACGTTTTCAGCCCAGGCCCCATCCATTGCAGTGTGGCCACTAAGTTTTTTATTGGAGGTAACTTACCTGGTGCATTGCAGGATAGTCTTTTAGGTGAGAAGCAAACCAAAAAACCCTCCCCAGCTGGTTTGTGTGGCCTATGAAAAGGAAAGGTGGGAAGGAAAAAGTTTAAGAGTGGGATTGCATATGCCATGGAGGCTGTAATGAAGGAAGACAGAGACAATAAACCTAAAATGCTTATGAGGCATCCTGTTCCTGTATAGGTTTCCCTCAGCACTGGTCTGTGATCTCTACAAGCTTTGCAGACCTCAGGCACACAGGTGCAAGCAGACTGTCTGTGAACAGTCACGTTAGGACTTTAAAAACTTTGAGCACCATGTAATACTCAGCAGTGCAGGAACAGCCAGCATGAACTTGTTTAAATTTGACCAGCTGTGCCTTTGGATGAAAGATCTGGAGGACAATTTGCAGGTTTCTGGCTTTTATCCTATAATACATTGAAAGCCTATTATTATTATTACTGAAACACAGATATCAAACATTATAAACAGCCCACATTTATGGTGCTTCTACTGAGATCAAATGCATGATTCTCTGTCAGCAATGACTACTGAACATATTAAGCACTGACTTTTCTCTTTTTGTTTGTTTAGGAATGGACCTCTTTTTAATAGCACAAAGTAACGGAAAGGATTGGTCACTCTCTTTAGAAATTTGAGATTATTTTCAGTTCTCATCCATGCAGCTGGAGAAGGTCAGGAAGCAGTCTTTAAATATTAAGATAGGAGCACAAATCTAGCCAACTAATGATACTTATTTTGGGACCTTGTACTAGAATTGCAGTTATTTTTAAAAGGCAACTGGTGTTTTTCAACAAGTCAGAATTACTTACAGAAGCCAATTTACACCAAAAGTGTGGTATAAATTTGAGCTGCGATCCGTTATTATTTCTGTTTTGACTGTATACTCCCCATTATGGTGTCCGCCTTCTGTTTCAGTTCTCAAGTCAAGTGACAAAGTCAGTACACAATTCTAGATCTAGTCATTAGTGTTACAAATACAAATAAAAAAGAATTTGTGTATTATTTTAAAATCTGAATGTCTTAAGAGTGGTAGTAAAGGGAGAGGACCATAGGTGTCAGAGGGACCAGAAGGGTGAAAACAGTAAGTAGAAAAAAACCATGCACGATAATTTCAGTTTTACTGACACTATCATAAACAGTTCTTAGAGACTCTGGAGAATAACAGAGAAACAGTCTTGGGCAGCCTAGGCCTCCAGAACAACAAAAAAAAAAGAGTCAAAATGAGTGAGGAAAACAATGAGTGGCATTATCCTCATTAGGATTCAGGGAGCCAGCTGCAAGTTAAAACACTCATGCACTTCCAGTCCTGCGCATGTCTTGAATTACTGAGCGGTCACAAAAGTCACCCTAAAGGAGGGACTAGGATTGCACGGCCATGAAGTGGTTTAAGCTGCTATAGAACTGCGTCCCCTTAAAGCAGACTGTCCGTAAGGCCTTTAAGATTTAAAGCTGAGAAGGTACAAAGGGTCAAAACATGCTGAACATATGAAAGTATTCAAGTTTTGGTCGTATTCAACCCTTTTAAAATAAGCCACTTTGTAACAGAGAAACAAACTTTTCCCTCATCTACTAAATTATAGTCACTTCTTCAGAATCCTGTGTCCAATTCAGGAAGTGTAATGTGGGCTAACAGTGTGTTCACCCTGCTGAGCCAAGTTGTGTTCTGATAACTTGACAATAACTTGAGAGACAGCAGCGTGAAAGGTGAGGCAGGATATCGAGAACAGTTTCATATTAGAGCACTGTATCCATCAACAAAGCAATGTTCATGGCAGGTAGATTTCTCCCCTACTTATGACTATGCCTTATTACCACAGTTATGGTACCATTACCAAGTATCTGATTACTGCACAAATTTCCAAGTCAAATAAATCAAAGTGGGGTTTTGGGCATTTAAAATCCAAGGTGGCAAAATAAAAACATAAACAGGAGGGAATTAAATATGATGAGAAAATGAATAAAGCACACTACCAAGCATTTTAAAAATTAGCCACAGAGGTCTTCAGTTTGGTCTTTGACATCCATATATCCAGCCACATTTCTTGTGTGAAAATATATTTTGTAATGCATACTTATTCATCAGAGACCAAAAAAGCTCTGGAAAGTCAAGCTGAAATTTAAACAAGTGTTGTTTGGCATCTTAATTTGTGTTAGACCAGGTGGCAGCTGTTGGAAGATCATTTTTATTTAACAACTTTTTGTTTTGTTAGCAAAGAAAAACATTGTCCAGCCAAATCCTGCTGACAGTGAATAAATATTTCTCCTCCATTAGACCAAATATTTTCATTTGTCATCCTAATAGCTAGGGTAGAGGTAAAAGATCTGAAAAGATTTTTCTTTTTTATATGGACTCAAATATATTTGAATGGTTCACAGTTTTATGGGAGGTGATTATTACTCCATACTCAGCACTGTTGAGGTTATGTCTGAATACTGCACCACACTTTGGTCATTATACTTCAAAAACTGGACAGATTTCTAAGGAAAGCACACAAAAGGTGAAAAACATGACCTCTGTGGAAGGACTGAGGGAAGTGGGCTTGCTCAGCTGAGGAAAAGAAAAATCAAAAAACTTTATTGACAAATCTCATTTGTAAAGCCTGTAATAAAGATGACTGCATACTGGCACTGGGACTAGGAATAATTGACCAAACATGAAGTTGAACAAATTTATGGAAAGGGATTCCACTGGAACCTGTTAAGGTGACCAGCCACCACCACCACTGGCTCAAGAAGTCCCTGAGCCACAAATTGTTGAGGAATATCCTGAGTAAGTATCACTAAAAATCTCTCTTTTTTCATACTCTTCTCTACTCATACTCTTAGTCCCTGTCACAGACAAGATCCCAGAGCAGCCTGGCCCTTTACACTGACCAAGTGCTATTCTCACACTATACCTGCTTTTTTAGATGAGATAGTGTGAAACCCTGTTAATTCTAAAGAGTAATTAGCCTTGGGAACAAGTCACTTGCAGAGAAACAGCAGCCCTTCATTAAATACTTTAAAGAACAAGGGCAGTTTAGTATACTTGACCTCATTTCTGTCAAAAAAAAAAAGAGGAAAGAAAGAAAAAAGGGATAGACTACAAGATTACAAAATTCAGTGTGGGCAAACAACTCCACACGGTCCACCATTTAACTGTTTTTTTTATTACAAAATAAACTAATGAGACAGTTGCAAATTTTGCACTTCCAGTACATATAAAATTTCCAATACTGTGTCAGTCACACACAGACAGGTGTGGTCAGGACAAAGTCTGAAACTCAGTAAAACTGGCTACTCTACCAGGTTCCATCTTGCACTTAGAAAATGAGGTGCAAGATTCAGTGATGTCCAGCAATTCTCTGTTGAGAGTAAAACTGTCTCACTGCCACAACCGAAACCAGAAGATTCACGTTTGCGAATCTTGCCTGTAGTTGACACAGACACATTTAACTTCATTTGAAAGATGCTTGATTATCTGTCACTCTCTACATTTGCTTCCATGATACAACTGTTTTACAACTTCTGTCGTGAAGACATAAACTTAACAAAAGGGACAAATTATCTTCTTATTACACATCTTTGCCTCCATTTAAGCCTTTATCTAGATCTTTAGCTGTAAAGTGAAGTGATATAAAAGATGTAGTGTCAGATTGCAATCCAATTTAAGAAGTAAATATTATCTTTGGTGTGTCTTCCAGTAGGATAGAAGGAGAAGAAATTACTTAACCCTATATAATTACTTGCTTCTACTTACAACTTCACAGAATTGCTAACTAGAAATGGAATAGGGAAAATGCATTTATTGTTAGCTCTGCTCTTCGTAAAGAATTTTGGCTGCTGATACCCCTCAGCATAACCCATTATTTAGTATGGATTTCCTGATTAGCATGTTTCAAAAAGTTACAAAGCCCTAAGAAGCAAATGTTCTGTTTTCACAAAAATCTGTATCTCCGGTAACAAGCCAAAGAACACAGAACAGCACTCAGACCTCGACACGCTCAATATATTAACACAACTCTTTAGAGCTAATGCACACTTCAGTGTGTTCATCATATACATTATTTTAAATGCAGCAACAAATTATGATTGCCAAGAAACCTCTCAGGTTCTTGAAGGAACATACAGCATGTATGGCCCAGTCCTTGCAAATGACATAATTATGAGAAAATCTGGATTATGACAGAGTGCATAACACACGTAGATGGAACCTGGTTATCAAGTCAAGGGAAGTCATCCTTTGTGTGCTGTACACTGTCAGCCATATTTTTCTGCAGGGAGAATATTAAATAAATCAAAATAAATGACCTGATGGCTGTCATATACAGATGTGATGAGAGGCAGAGAAAGCAAGTGAGCCCAGGTGTTCGTATGTGCAGCTTCTAAGACTGCACTAAGACCACGGAAATCAGTTAAAGTACTTGTAGAAAATCAATTTGTTCAAACCAGGATCAGAACTTCCTCCAAAAAGTCATCATTTGATCATACCCATGTCTAATGTCAAGGTTGTAATTTCACACGTCACCACCTTTGCCAATAATGTCAATGTGGAGAATTCCAAGTCTCACACCAGCAGCACAGTCCGTGCTGATACAGCTGTTTGGAGGTAACTACTGTAAATGGCATCACTGCAATAAGAACAGTGAAAAGTAATCCCTAAAAAGGGTGGACTCATGAGCTGTTTTGTAACATGGCCACAAACCCCTACGTTGACACAGCTGATGGATGAAAATGAACAACTCATGACAGATGGGTTTTTTTAGTTTGGTTTCATCACCAAGATCAACACATAACAAAACTAGGTTCCAAGCGGGCCACCAAAGTTGATTCTCCAGGACTTTTGCTAAGGATTGCATCAAAGGAATAAAGAGAGAGCAATTTTTATAAATGTGAGATCTGAAACCAATTTTAGTAGCAATGCAAAGGACTCAGGCTACTACTGCCTTCATCCAAAATTGTGAGCAAAGTAATAATTCATATCCTAAATCTGATCATCTTTCCAGGTTGGTAGCACAGCCATACACATTGTAAACTATGATTTGAATCCCATTGGAAAAATTCAGGAGTATCCTTTCTGGATACTGGGATACACAACATCAGATCATGAGATGATGGTGCAATGAGTTTATGGAAAAGCATTAATGGAACATACATTTAGGGAGTCAGAACAACTAGCTAGGAACAAAAAAAATCTGGGCACTTTGTGAACTCAAGGATCTCAAGTCAAGGATGAGGAAGACTTTTTCAGAAGCATGGACAATGCTTCAAACACAATTTATCCAAAGCAGTTGTTCTAGACTTGGTAAAAAAAATTGCTTACCAGAGAGAAAATAAAAGCGTTTCATCATCTTAGCCTAATCTTTACCAGTTACAGAAGAATATACTCTACCTCTAAGAGGAGGCTTAGCTTCTCAATACACTCTGAGAAGCATCTGATTTTTTCTTTTGCCACTCCCCCAAGACATCAACCATTCAGTTTCCAGTCACTTACACAAAATTAAGGGCACAGAACACAGTGTTACTGGTCAAAGAAAAATGGCAAGACATTCTCTTCCCAAAACCTGTGTGTGAGGGAGAAGACAGGCATTATATTATGAAAGAACATGTAAGTCACATACTCCCTTGTCTATTAATTAGTATTTACCTCTCTACCATCTGTGAAGAAGTCCACATATTTCACAGTGTTCATGCAAAATCAGTAATAGAAGAGAGGGAGATTGAAAGAAAACACTTGTTTTCTGACATATCATCAAGAATTCCACCCTAATCTGCTGACTTTTGTTGGCTTTTCCCATTTCCCATCAGCATCCTAGGAAAGACATTGGCTCTGCACCACCTGCACCTAAAAAACCCTTTGCCCTACAGAACTTGCAAAACCCAGTAAATACTCTAAGTAACTGATGCAGTGTTTTGTCCTGGAAATGTATCCAGGTCAAAGCAGAGTATTCCACACAAAGAAGTTGCGCTCTTGTCATTAGAGACATGGGATCCGAGCTTCATTTTGTGCCAGAGAGCAAAAGGAAGAGAGGGCAATGAAATCATTATCCAGCTCCTCTGTGAGATGAGCAGTTTCCTGCTCCTTGTAACATCACCACAGAGAAAAAAACAACCCACATAATCTCATACCAAACATCCAGACATCAGTGTCAGTTAACTAAGTTACAAGATACACCTTAGAAAACACACAACTGTTGTTCTCTCAAGGATTCTTAATCACATGGGTTATAGTTGTGATCTAAGGAGAAGTGAAAGAACATTAGGGAAAAGCAAGTATGCTGTTTAAACAAAGTACTGCACGTTGTTAAGCTCTCGGATAATTTTCCTCTAAGAAAATTACTTTAGGATATAAACAAAAATGTACAATCAATCATTATATCCAATCAAACAATTATATTAAGGTTCAATTTACAAAAGGTTAACAAATAATTAATAGTTGGTTTAATACACAGGTATTTACTTCTCACCTACTGTCAATCCAACAGATAGCTTCTAGCTGTCTATAGTACTTTCTACTGGTGTGCTTATAGCCTTCCCTAACATAAACTTACAACACACTTCTCTAACATGAATTACAACTTCTAGAAATCATTTATTAACCCTTCATAAAATTCTAAATAAACCTTAATATGAAGCATGACTAACTTTATACTATTTCAGCCCCATACCCCAGGACATATCAAATACTAGCTCTTTCAAGTTTTTATTTAAAATTCTACATTTTATTTGGGTGCCACATCACTAGCTGCAGAATCACAAATGTCTACTGTGGCTTAGTCAACACACTGCAGAGACAAGAAGTGAAACAAAAGTGGTGGGGGAAGATCACAGGGAACAGTTCAGGTTCTTCTAAAAGAAATGTCCTGGCTTTTTTTATTGGAACAAACATTGATACCATGACAACAGAATCAGAAAGCAAAAACCGGAGTCTGTTGTCAATCAAGACATTGTTTTTCCTTCATTTTAGAAACAAAACCCCCACAATACATTATAATAAATAAATAAAACAGAAAACACAAAGGTAAATTCCAACCTCCATCACTAGGACTTTAAAAATAGAACAGCCATCTATTTCTTGGATGCAGCCTAAACTTCGCTTACCTGCAAATTTTCAATATACTTAGAAGTCCTATTTAGTGTATCAGACTTAGGGAACAAGATGTATTATATTTAGGTCTCCTATTTTTTCCATCCAGTATTTTCAGCTTCACACCTCACCTTAGTTTTTTTCCATCAAATTGCTTGCTGTTGGTTTAACAAAGCTCAGCTCAGACTCATACTTTTCCTTCACTTTCAGAGCCTCCATCTCTATTCTCACAGTCCTCCACAAGGTCTTCATGCTCCTGTGTCTTCTCTTCCTCCTCCTCTCCCTCATCTCCAAAAGTCTCTTCCTGCATTGTAGTAAAAGTGAAAGACCTGGCAGCAACTTGTGCAGCCAGACCAGATGTGAAGTTTAAATCTGTTGATATGTGGAGCTGGGCCAGCCTATGCTTGATTTTTGAATGTAATGCATTCTTAGAGGGAGGCTGTGAAACCTCTACTCCATCCATACTGCTCGGCTTGAGTTCTTCAGCTTCCCCTTCACTCTGATAACACATTCTTTCTTCAGCTCCTGTAGAAACATCTTCATCTGCAGTACTGTTTTTGTTTTTCTCCATCTCAGGATCTTCATACAAATATTCTGTCCTGCTTTTATCAGCAGCAGTCACTTGTGGATTAGAGTCTTTTTCTTCAGATTTATCACCACTTTGGCAGCAGTCCTGCTTTTCTGTATCTGAATTCATATGTGATTCCAAATTATTTAGTAGCTTCAGTGGTTCTACAGAAGGCAAGGGTTTCACTGCAGCTTAAGAAGGGGAAAAAAATTAAATGATAACTAAAAGCAAGCTGCTATATATAAATAATTTATTTCTGTCTGCAAAGTTGCAAGATTATAAGGGTTAAAATGGCTTCGGAAGCCACTAAAACAACAAAAACAAAACGCACAACAAAACTTAAAATAAAAGTGTTTTCTAATCAGAAAGCTGAAGTGAAATGTGATAGCTACTTGTTGTAACTATTCCTTAAAATCTGTGATGTGAAGAGACAGCGCAAAATTGGGGGTGTTTAAAGCTGACATCGAACACAGATGATGCATTCAATGTTAAAGCAAAACCCAAGTATAACTACCTGCATACAAATTTGAACTGTCCGCTTTTTAAGCAACAGTTTACCTAACCCACTAAAGACAGCTGGTACATGAGAAAGTCCTTATAGGCAATACCTGATCTCAAATGCCACAACATACAAATACAACACATATTCATACAATCAGGTAAGATGTCCTCACAAATAAAGTGTGGTTTAATTTAGCCTCTCTTGAAGTTAGTAGCAGCAGCGAGTCCCATTGCCAGCAACGGGATGCTTGCCAGGAAGTCTCTCCTCCCAGTGTTAAGGGTTAGTACAACTCGGTACAATCACTTCTTGAAGAACAGACGTCTTTCGTTTTAAGAAAACGATATAATGTCCATTTCCAAGTAAGGGATTCCCTAAACTGCAGTAGCTCCATTATAGCAGCAGCACGAACATAAATGAGAGCGGCAACAGCAGATTCCCAAGTTGCATTTCCCTTTCTAATTCCATTCTGACTTTACCCCTGTAAGCAGAGACGAAAATAACTCTGGGAAATACATGAACTTTTCATGGGAAACAAAATTTACGGTAGTAGGATTTTTCAATTCCATCCTATTTCAGTAATATCTACTTTAGCTAGCTGAAAGCAGGCACATCATTATGGTTGTCATATTGATAATTCTTTTCATTAGCACACTGAAAAACTGAGGCTTTGAATTTATATTGTACTGTTTTTTTGAAAGCCTTTTATACTGAAGGAGCACTGCACCAGACTCATCTTAGTTATTAACGGGGTAGTTCTTTCCCCATCTTGTAAAAAACATGCTGCTACTTACTTCTGCCCATTTGCTTGAAGAGGCAGGAATATGCACAGTAATCTTATCATTTGAGAGCAAACTTGTTGCCTACTTCCTCCAAACAATCCTTTGAAAGCCAAAATTTCTCAAAAAATAAATAGATACTAGAGATTGGTAGCTGGTCAATTTGCAGAGTTGATTAGTTAATAAGCAAGGTGCAATTCATCAGTTCTGAGAGCATGGCTTTCCAAAGCTGAGAAATAGCTGTATAAGAACTATTGTGTGGACAAGGTATGAGAAGGGGCAACAGCTGGATACAACACAATCACTTTCAGAATGAACTTTTCGGAGTGGGGTGGGGTGGAGGGGAGAGGTTAGGGAAAGGCTAGAAGGGATTTTGCTTTAGAGAAAGTTGTTTAACAATGTTTGACAAATGAAAACAAAGCCACTAACAACTTAGTACACCTTTTCAAAAGCACTTTCATTTTACTGGCTCAACAGGATGCCAAAGGACCAAAAATATAAGCTTAGCTAAGCTACACTCCCATAAATTACCTACTGCCCAGACTGTAAGCAGTATTACCAGGGTGCTGGGCCTTGGAAAACTTGTTTAAGTCTAGTGCTTTGCTAAGATGATTTTTTTTCTTTTTTTTTTGGAATCCAACCTATCATCTCCAGTTGACTTCATGCTGTTTTATTTAGACATATCAACTTCTTTGGAGCTGACCTCTTTTATGCAGAAACCCTCACCAGCCCCTCTTTCAACAAACCAAAAACCCCGATGTCCTGGTTAGGACAAATAAATCAGAATGGCTATCTGGGTGCCCTGACTAACAAATTAAAGCCTTTGAATATTTCAGCATCTTTTTTCACAATAATCTTGAGTTAGGAAAACACAGGATTTCTGGAATATGATTGTCCTGTAAAAGTGAGATTCAAGAGGTCTACGGAAAGTGGTATCATAGCCATTCATTGGCTTGGGCCAATGGAGACAAGAATATGAACCTGTCTGGGTTTAAATCTTCAAGATAAAGCAAGCCAGAAATGTGAAAAGCACAGATCATAAAAATGTCTCTTTAAGGAATGACTCATGTACAGACAAATTAAGGTCTGCAGCAGTAATATGGCAGGGTCCATTATGCCATATTTAACTGACTTTTGTTTCTTTTGAAGAAATAATGAAGAAGTTCCTTAAAAACCAGTAGATGCTGTTATGTCTGGTGTCCATATCAGTCTGTCAGATTAGACACACACAGTCTGTGCCAAAAGGAGACAATAATAATTACTTTCATGAACTGCTCTCATCTTTTCCAGTTTTGTATGGGATGGAAGAAATCAATGCAGCTGGAGAAAATTACACTTTCTTCCCTCCCCACCATTTAATCTCTAGTCCTAAAATAATCTAGTATCTATACACTGAAAGGAAAAGGAACCAACACAAGCCACAAAGGCTTTCTTCTGGTGAACAGTTGCTGTAGACTACAGGAGTCAGATGGCTCTGTCCAGCCATGGCCACAGATGGCCAGAGGATATGCTCATATGGACAGGTATCAGCTGCTAACTTCAGTAAGGAAATATCCCGTGCAAGTTCTCCTGACAAGAACTCTTTCTGCAGGAGTCACTAGGTCTGTCAAGACTTGAACTGGAGGTAGGACTCCTTCCTTCTTTCTTCAACAGTGAGGAAAGGAAAACTTAAAAAGATTTATGTTAAAAGTTGTGTGGTGTCGCATCTAACACCAGAGGAGTAATACAGAAATCCTACTGTTGAGCAGACTGTTGCAATCTGATGTCTTAAGGGTCTTTTAACTAAACTAGAAGAGAAATTAGTACCAATAGCCAAGTGATCTCTTTTACCATAGTTGTAGCTTAATGGATATAAAGAAGAAAGTTGTGAAAATAGATATTTTTTGACGTTTTGATGTCAAAAGAGACAGTCTCATAAATAGGTATGGTCTGTTAGTGTCTGTTCCCACTAAATTACTGAAAGATGCAATCCATGGTCTTTTTTTTCTGGTAGACAATGGCAAAGGCAGAATCCTTGGATAGGTTGCCAGACTTGAGGGTTGTTTTTCATAACACAGAACATAAAATTTTTTAGAGGGCTTTTCCTAACCTTTCTCTAAGAGGAAGAAATGAAAATGAGAAAAAGGAAAAGACAAACTACTGCCAATTTTAAAGATACAAACACCTCAAGCAGTGAAAGGAATCAAGTTGTATCCAGCCTCATTGCTGTAACAGACACACTGTCTTGTAAAGGCAAGAGAAATTTTCATATTGCTGCCTTTAAGTGCAAGTGGCTGGAGCTACCCAGCAGTCCTCAGAGTTTGTAAAGGCTAGTTTGGAAGAACTCTTCTTCTTAGATGGTTTGTGGGGGTTTTTTTGGTAAATATTTTCTGTATATGCACTGTCTCATGGAAACAAAAGCCATTTTTACTCCTTTATGAGCCTTTAATATTTTAGAGTCTAGCTCTTCACTTTAACCTATATACTTCTGGAAGTCTGGAATAATTTCTGATGGTTTCTTTAAATTCTGAAAAGTAATTTATTTATGCACTCTGATTAAAGTTAATATTTACTGGAAAGCCAGGAAAGAAAGTCAGTCTGCATGGTTTATAGCCTGACAGTTCTCTTTACACTGTGTTAGTATTTTTATGTGTTCAATATTTTAGCTCAGTGCTTTGCTTAAAGCCAAATTCCCACTTCTCTGACTTCTTTTCAATATATAGTAAAATGACTGCTAAAAGTAATATAAAGAGACAGAATAGCAAACTAAGGCCACACAGCTCTATCAAAGACACTACTATAGCTAAGCACTGCCTGAATCCTAACATAGTCAGAAGTTAATGGCAAAGAGACACCTACACTTTCTAAGAAAGAAATAGAAAGGAATTAATTTTAAAAAGCAATACTTACCATGTTCACTGAATAGCAGCTGCTTCCATTTCTGTCTTTCTATTTCTGAAGCTTTAAATCCAAGTACAGATTTCAATTCTTGTAACACCCTTTTAGATTCCTGTCTCTCTCGTTCTTGTCTCTCTCTCTCTTCCTGGGAAAAGCAGTAAAAATCTTCTCTTTTGTATTCATTATCTGTATCTGAATAATCAACATATGCTTCCAATTCCTTAAAAAACAAAGAAAGAAAGAAAGAAAGCCTTGATCTTCACTGTCAGTGTGGACTCAATACTACAATCTGATTCATGATCAAGCGATCTCAACACAAGCCAACCACAGCAATAGGATGGAGCCCTGTTTGAGCAGAGCCAGTGGATCTGACACTGCTCTTGGTTGTATCTGTATGATTTTGGAGCAAGTCCACTCATTGAAAGTTAACGAGATTTACCTTCATACACAAGTATGATCAAGTGATATACCTTGAAAGATCAAGACATACCTTGAAAATGGGAGTCCATTTCCCCATAATTACAGGTGGAAATAAGCAATAAGCAATGCTGATGTGGGTTTCTTTTTTTTTTTACACTGTAACCAATTCTTAGTAGTCATGTATCTTGCTAATTTAACTTATGTAAATGCTTATTAAGAGGATATAGAGAATAGGAAACTCCTCCTCCAATTTTAAATATATTGGCTTACAAGCATAAAAAAACAAGAGTACCATTTATGTTATAACAGATGGTAAATAAAAATAGTTAAAGTAATTGGTCCCAGCTCTTTGATATGGAAAAAAAATGTAGAGACAATGCATGATGCATGTGGGGGAGGGGCAAGGGGGGGACAGAGCAGAGCATGGCTGTTCAATGTGCTTTCAGAATGCATCTGCTACTCAGTTAGGGGATGGAGGAGGCCTGTCCCTTTTCAAGACAGCCCAACCATCATCCATGAGCTCCTCAAACAACACAAAATTGTTCAGTGTCACAGTCTGCTTTAGGTATCCAAAAATGCGGAGACTACGTAAACTGAAGGCAGGATGGTTTGTGCTGGAGCTTGTCACTTTTGCAGCTGTGTCAATTTATCCATCAATATGTAAGTAGGACTCTATTTCATATATACTGCCTTTTAGCAATTCTCACTTTTTTCTTTATTACTCTGACCTGTGTTGCTGCTCTCCTTTTGTCACTCATTTCTAACGATATATATGAGAAGTGAATACTAGTGTTCTTTTTTCCAGCATAGGAAACATGGACCTCTCCATGGAACAGCAAAAGTAATACAGATAATTTTTTTCTACAAGTCCAATTTTGAAATGGTACTGGCTACCTACTTGATCTTTCTCAGCAAGACAAGGAGGTCACTGCACAAGCAACTGAAAAAAAAATGGATACAGCAAACAATCCCCAATTATTATTTTAAATGATCCTTTTTTTTTTTACCTGTTCTTCAGGGATTGGATCTTTGTTTTCTATGTATATGGCAGGTTGTGCTAAAGGTACTGTAGTACGCTGTAGGTTGTCACAGGAAACTTCAATTTTGCCTTTAGGGGAAAAAAGAAAAGGGATTTAAAATAAACCAAACATATTTGAGTGTTGAATGAGGTTTTTGACTCAGTCAGGCAGGTTCCAGGTATTTTCATAGGCAGGATTGGCACACATGAAAAAAACACACTGAAACACTGTGTTAGAGACCACTTACATAACTTAAAAGGTTTGATATGAGCTGCATCCAGTGGAACTCATGTTGAAATACTTCAACTAAAAAATCTCAACATTTTTATAGACTTTGAAAACCTGCAGGTGGCAAGAAAAATTGGTAGAACCAGAGAAAAGACTTAGTTCCCAAGTTTAAAAAAGAGAAGTGAAACAGTAAAATTATAGGTAAAAGAGCTTCAAATAACTGGAAAATACTGGAAGAAAAAATTAAGCAAAATTTATAGGAAGCTATCTGGGAAGTAAGTATGGAGACAATGGGACAGCCAGTGTAGGTTTGTTGAAAATCAAGATGTTAATTTTCCAGTGCAGTGACAGGTCTTATGAACAGAAAGAAGCCAAAGACGTTCTGCATTTTGTTTTCAGTAGGGCTTTTGACATGGATTCATGACATTGTCATAAGCAAAATACACAGGCCAGGAAAAGTTGCTATTAGGTGCATAGAACAGTCTCTTGGATCATCACAGTGTAGTTACCATTTTCAGATTGGAATACATTAAGTGAGCAGTTGTGTCAAGTCCAGTACTCTTTAATATTTCCAATGGGTGAAAGAAAACTGTTGCAGCATTAAATCTGCTGATATGGAGATAATCCATAAGGAAAATCAGAGATACAGCCCAGTAGATTTCAGATACAGGAGTTTGGTGACAGTGACTGCAAATTTTTGTGCTTTGGAACAGTGAAGTGCACAAATAAATGACAACTGACTGGGGAACAGCACTGAGAAAGCAGTGAGGAGCCTCAGAGTCACCTAAAGCCTGCTGCAAGCAAAAAGCCAAACTACATATTAGTACATATAAGCAACAGCACAGATGTTAGACACATGAAATAACATTTCTACTCTGCCACTGATCAGGCTGTTGATGGAACACAGTGCCCAGTCTGGGGCTCCTTCATTCAATGATACAGTGGGCAAACTAGAGGGAGTACAGACGAGAACAGTGGAAATGATCAGAGGACTAAATATAGTTGTCAGGGAAGAGTTGAAGCATAGAGAGTCACATAGAGAAGATACAAAGAAAACATACTAACCATCTTCAAGAATGTAAGAGCTATAAAGAGCAAATGGATTTCTGTTGTGGGCAGATCAGAAGTACTGCTTTTAAATTGCAGCAAGAGATATTTCTATTCACTAATAACATTCTACTGGTAATGGAATTAAGTGCTGAAACAGATGCCTGGCAATACTGTAAAATGTCTCTAAAGAGAGGTTTTTAGGAACAGGTAAACAACATTTACTCACAAACACTAATTTATCCTCGAGAAGGGAAATGGGCCTATCTATCCCTATTTTCAATTTCTAATCTATACATTGAACACTTGACGGATAGCGTTCTGAAAGTAGGCAGTCGACAATAATGCCAAGTTTGGTGGTGCTCAGTTATCTGCTTTTGCAAACAAGGAAAGTATGTAATTCTCTAGTGCCCTGGGCTGAGCTACAGATCTGACATTCCAGAAATATTTACATGCAAAATTTAAAAGAAAGGTGAAGCATATAGTGAAATTTCAAGTAGAAAATTGACAAGATATTTGTTTTATAATTATCAATTATCAAGCCCCCTTGTCTATTGTGTAACTCTGCCTCGTAATAAGAACATTTAAATAATAATAATAATAATAATAATAATTATAACAACAATAGAAATATGGTCCTGAAGGTATGAAGACAAATTTGGAAGAGTATATGGAAGTTACCAATTAAAAGCTTGCCTTCCCAAATCACAGGAGTACACCAGCTGCTCTAATACATGTACAGACTGCTCTGTTTGCCACCTGTATGGGATGATGCCATTGCTAAAGATACGCTTCAAGATCATGAATTCACGGTGTTTAACTAAAACTGCTGCTGCTTTAGTTCCTCTCCAGTGGATCAAATGACAGCAAGATCCAGGAGACTACAGAAGAGTACTATGGCCTTGCTGTTATAAATGTCTTAAAAAGTTGTTTATGTTTGCAAAGATAGAGACAGTTTAAAAGGAAAAAGGGTGGAGTTTAAAGGGTGGAGTTTGAGAGATATTGATTCAAAGATCAGTAAAACAATGATTTAACTAGTCATAAAGGGTATTCTGTTCTGTAAAATTAGCAGCAGATTAATATATATGCTTAAACTGTCCAGGTTTTAAGTGGTAAACTAGTTTTATCGGTGATGAAAAAAGGTGAAAGAATAAAGATAGGAAGCTGAAAGTCTAGCATTAACTCTAGGGATTGAGCAAATATCTATATGTAGATCAATGATAGATAAATCTGTCATTGCCCAAGAATTTAAGTAGAGCTAAATTCCCCTCAAGGTGCTGAAGCCCCACTTGCTGTCAGGCTCCGTTCTGTACCTGACAGGATGAGTGACTAAACAACACCAGTTACACCAAGTCCTGTAAAGAAAGAAGCCCAACTGCATTCACTGAAGGAACCACTTGCTCTAATATCCATTCCTGTCACCACCAACAGAAGGTGGACAGGAGTGTATGAATGTCCAATTCATTACCCTTACAAGGCTTTGCTTTGACAGTTTGACACAATGAACTACTTAACATACCTGTAAGAAACCAGCTTTGACACACAATGATTTAGGGCAAGAAGCATGTAGTACTTGCTGAAGGAGCCTCATCTCTTTATACAGATGCTCAACTGGTTGAGCTAGTTAGCTGAACCAAACATCTATTGCAGCAAAAGTGCTGGGCATCCACTTAGACACAATGTTCTACTCCCATGGGATTCTTGCAATAGCTCTTGCCAAAAGATTAATTTGGTTTTGGATAATAATGCACAAACATAAAAGATGTTTTAGCTTCTATATTATTTCAATGGGAAGGTATCTTCTTCCAAAGAGCTTTCAGAAAGCATTGGGAAAATATGAGATAATTTAATTAAATAATTTACATAATCATGACTGACAGACCAGCCATTAAGATCTGTAGAAAGACAGCAGAAGAACTAGATTTCATTTCATGCACAGCTTGAAAAGGTCAACTCACAGAAACTGCACTGCTTAAGAAATGTATCAGGAAAGCCAAATGTAGTCAGATGAAAATAGTTTTCAATGACCAACATAATTTAAAGTAGCTCCTGTGGAGTGGTTTAGTAAACTTGTTGCAAAATAGAGATTCAACCCCAACGCATTTGCAGGAAAGCCAGTGGGCAAAAGTGAAGATTTATTTTATTTTTTTATTTTCCACGCCTTCCTTCTAGATCACACACTAGATTATTTTTGTACTGAACTTTAAAAGGAAGCAAGTTATAATAAAAATGCCTGCTGTTTTTACATAACGTAAAAATAAAACTAAAATAACTAAAAATACTATGGTGTGCAGTCTAGAAAGAATTTTTAAGGAAAGGGAAAAAAGCGATCAGTTGTGGAGGGCATCAACAAAACACAACAGGCTAGCACATGCAAATGTATCAGGCTACATCTAATATCCTCAATAGGCTGTTTTAGGCAACACTGAGGGGGAAGCTGTAAGACTAGACTGTCAGGTAAAGTATACATGAATTTGGTTATACCATGTCTGGACCTGCACAGAGCCTGCATGAGGCCTCCCAGTGCTCCCAGTTCTGGTGTAAGCATGAACAAGGTCAGCTTGCATGACTCCAGGCCCACAGATCTCAGGGATGATTCATCAAAGTCCTACCTCTTCACAAGTGATTCACCAATCAAAGGCAAAAAGCCGCAATTGGTCTACACCTGAAAATGTAACCATCTGAATCCACAGGTCTAACAGACTGAGTTAACACATTCGCATTTTTTACTGAAACAAAAGCTTCAAGGCAGTGAAAAAGTCTGACATAAATACACAGTCTTTCCAAGTGTAAGACCTTCTTCAGCTAAAATTCTGACACACAGGCTGAACACTGTCTTTGATCCATTTTACCATTCCATCTCTGAAGTGTATCCCATTAGTTGCTAAATTAATCTCTCACATTTACCTTTTTTACTTGGGTTTCTTCCACTCATTTTTTCCACCTGAGAAATGGCTTCTTCCCAGCAGCTGTTGCTTGCCTGGATATGAGGCTGAATAAACTTTAGTTTTTGTTCAAGAACCTGATGGGCTTCTGTTGTCAACTCGGGTGTCTCCTTAGTGCTAACAAGTTTTTCAAGTTCATCCTCGAGAATTATTACCCTAAGTAATAAGGAGATGAACAGCAATAAGTAATAATAAATATTTGACTTCACCATTCCTTTAAATATTTAATTTAATATACTGTTATTCTCCTCAAGTTTTAAGTTTCTAACTCAGTCGATTCCTCAAAGATGCTCCACAATTTTAAAAATAAAATAATTTTCTCTACATCAAGATACATTGCTCACCTGCATTCATTACAGTAATTCTTATATGTAAGACTAAAGGAGTAGGACAGTCTCAACTGTTTCACCAAGGCAGTGACAAATCTTTAAAAATATTTATTAGGTAGTTATTACGAGCTGAACATTTTTATAAAGCATTCGGTATGTTGCAAAATCAATAGGAGATAAGTTTTCAGACTTTTTCAAGGGAGTGACAGAAGTAAGGCAAGATCTTGGTGCACTGCTTATCCTCAAATTTTCACCAGATACTTAAAGAGTCACCAGGAAAAAATATCAGATAGCCCATACTGTGTACAGATATGCCTATAATTGCAGACTTGCATGTATCTGCCTTTTTTTTCTTTTAATCTGGGATACAAACTTACAACCCAAAGAACTTCAAAACATTCTGCCTACCTGCATATTCTCTTAATTCATGTGTAAACTTACTCATTGAGCAGCGCCTTGAGGTGAAGCTGCAAGCTGCGTACTGCCGTCTGAAGGTTGTTCAGCTCCCTTGACTTCTGCTTTGTTCTGGGTTGCCATTCCAAACCCGACTGGTGCTGAGTTTCAAAGTACCGATAAAACTCGTAGCTTCTCCTAAGCTCCTCCAAGCAGGCAGTGTGTGTGTGAGGTAGGCCTTGAGTCACATCGGACAGGATGTGATGAGGCAGCCGTTCAGGGGAGACCAAGGGTTTGGGGGACGCATTGGCTGGGGAGAGGAGCAGCACCAGCCTCCTGAAGAATTCTGAACTCTGCCCTACCCAGAGCTGAAAGAGGACCTGCAAAAGAGGGTAGGGTTAGCTCTGTGCACCCGGGAAGACAGTCAGCCTCCAAAGTAAATGTACAGATACACCACGGGAAAACATTCCCTGGTCAGCAATAGGAACTTTAAAAAACTGCAAAAATCTGCTGACTGTTTTTGATGGGTATCCCAGATCACGTGAGGTTCAGATCTTGTGAACCTTAGGTGACTGTTAATTCTTTGATGAAGGATGTTAAATGTAATTATGTTCAGAAGATTGTCAGAGTCCTTAAACCTCATATTCTCATCAGGCAGTTTCATTATTTGCTATAATCTCAACATACCCTACAGCTTAGAAAGGGCTGCCAAAATTCCAGTGGCAGCAAAAACATTTTTCCCTTTATAATGCCAATCATTTCTACGATCTGGTAACTACCGCGTTGCCCCACACCCAACCTTGAATCGGGAGCCTAATTGTACTGCACTTCAACAAAAAACCATTTACATCTGAAGAAAGCTGAGCTGCTAACTTATTTCTTTTTTTCAGCCGCAGTGAGAAATTTCACCACCGATACCACTAAGGAGGAAAAGGCTTCTAAGAAATTAATCGATTCACAATGTTATATATGGTCCTAAAGAGGCCAGTCCATCTGGGAGCAAGGCAACCGACAATTTCAATTTCTTGAGAACTTCCACTTCCAATGAAATGTAAAGAACTGTTTTATTAGTTTAGAGAAGGCTGTTTGCTCAGTAGACTGTGACAGAACAGCAACACCTTATGTCTCTAAAATAAAAAGGAAAAGTTATGACACTTTTCTCTGCAATACTGGCCCTTATTAAAAGGGATCAATTGCAGGGGACCATGACATGCAGTCTGAAATCTATTCTCAAGCATTCCAGACTGAGGAAGACAAAATATTTACTCATCATGCTTTTGATATATCCAAGGGTATATCAAAAATACTTGGATGCAAACTGACAAAATATGCCAAAAGAATAAAAAAACTTTCTCAAATCACAAAAAATGCTCATGAGAAAAAAGAACAAATTAATTACATGAAATTAATTTGGGGCACACATGCAAGACTGATTTGGCTGGGTGCAAAAATAAAAAGCAGATAAATGGGCAGCAATCACTCGTGTCCCTGAATGTGTGGTGCCCTGGACAAAAAGTCAAAAGCTCATGCTATAATATGCACAAAAGAAGACCAATCCCTTCCACCAGACATAAGGCACAAGCAGTGAAAAAGTAGCACACAGAAATAGTGGATTTCAGGAATTGATAATCATAATCCAAAACGTACCTGAAAAGAGGCACAATGATGAGAGAAAAGGAAATTCCAGATGTATTTATGGTTGTAAGTAGCTTGCTCTGCCAATGACTCCTGATGATTTCTACTGATTTTTGCTTAAACTCAAAAAATATCCAACTGGCTCTCCTCGGTTTAAATTGGTATTTTTTTCTTTAGCCAAAAATTTTCACTCTTTAAATTGGTTTACTTCAAGGACAAGGTAGGCAAAAGACACATGCTACATTTGTCATATGGCCTAGACAGGGGCTTGAATGAAAATTAAAATATTAACTAAATCTGGATACATCTTGTATTCTACCTGCACTTTAACATAAAGACAAGTTCTCTCAAAAAAACCCAAACAACCTGAGGAGGACCACACATAAATCCAGGGCTCACGACACAAGTATGTCCCCAGGTTATCGGAGTATACCTATTTTATTGCCTACACAGGAATCTGCCTAAGACTGATTTATGTTATTTAAGCTTGGTTCAACTACACCACAACCAGCCTACACCTCTGTCTGTTATGAGTTAACATAAACTGAGATTTACTAGTTGTGAGCTTAACTGTATCCAGAAAGCATCCCAACCAATTTAACTAAAACAGATTTCAGTTAAACTACTGCAAATTGGAGGTAAACAAAGACTTAGCTTACAAGCTTAGGGACCTCTGGATGGCTTCTGCTTAAAAAGAAGTGGGTAAATTAGCGGGCTTGTATGGTTGCAATTAGAACTTCAGCTAATGAAAAGGCAAGGAAAAAAATCCCAAGGCTTCTATCTATTGTAGCTCTTAGCTTACAACCAATTAGACAAAGCCTCAAAGTTTAGTAATCACTACTACTGGTAACATTTACTGTAAGAACAAAAGAAGTCAAGGTCTATAAATTAAGTGAAAAAAATGCAACAAAAGCCAACCCCTTAGAAAGACATAAGTCACATAATATTGGATTTTTCAATTTAAAAAACAATGTTAAAAGGGAACTGCCTTTGCAGAAGACCAATAGACTCTAGAAGGCTTGCATTCAAATTAGATCTTCCTTCCAATTGACTCATGGAAATAAAAAATACCTAACATCTCAAAACAAAATAGATAAAAAGGTCATTATATGGTTGTCATTCTGTTCAGTTAAAAGTTTTTCAAAGATCAAAGAACTACACTGGCTCACAGCAGCGGGGGTCCAAGCTTATGATTTCTACTCCTCAGTGTAACTGAACACAGCTATTCCCTTTGGCAACTACAATTAATTTGTATCTTCTGATGTCTCTCTTTTTATTCATGTCAAGAGATTAGATTAAAAAGGAGTAAGTACAAATCTGGAAATTATTTTATACAGCTGGGATCAAGCGAAATCAGAGAGCAAAAAATCATGTTTAAGGAGATTGATCAGGTTGATTATAGAAAACTGACTTGAATTTCCATGATTTGCAGAAAAAAATCCTAATGTTGTATTGTGCAACTTCTCTTCCACTACACAAAATCACCTGAATGCCAATAAATGTAGAAACACATGATAAGAGACTGATTACATCTCCCTCTCAATTCACCGTGTTACTACAGGCTAGTACCTACAAGCCACAGGACTTCATGAGAACAGAAAGAGATTTTCCCCAGGAGCCTGCATGGAGGTACATGTCCTTCTAGGAGAGGTTACCTTGAGCGCAGGCAAGCTGAAGCCATCGGTTAGGTTGTGTGCCTCCTCTTCTGAGACCTGCTCTTCACTCAGTCCCAGACCCAGTTCCTTAAAGGGGACTACACAGATGTAGCTGGTCACGTTGTCACTCTCTGAGTTCAGAGGGTAGGTTTAGCTAGGGTTAAGGTGCTAAACAAAGCCACTTTTGCATTAAACATAAAAGGAAAGAAACACCTAATAAGGTTTCTTATTGCTGGTAATTTGTATGAAAGCACATATATTCCTCCCAAATCCACCCGAATCCTGTTTAATTGAACGTTTTGCAATCCTTATTTGGAGATCAAGTTTTAAAGGCTCTTAGAAGGATGAGAGCTAAGACACTGAAAAACCCCTACGTTTAAATACAAACAGATAAAAAGAAACAAAACTGATGAAAAGCACCTGCATCTCTTTTAAGTGAGAGAAACAGCTTGTAAATATTAAGTTTTCAAGAGATAGCTCATGTCAATCTTAAACCAGAAATCATATATATTAAAGAGGAAAGAGGAGAACAATTGTGCAATTTGAAGTTTCAAAGGTAGCCTGTGTTATAGACCAAACTCAGGATGATGTGAATTCCCTGAGAGTTATGTCTGTGGAAGAACTACTCAGAGATCTTTACAGTAAAAGGTCTTTGACATTTCAGACAGCATTGTGAAGAACAGGAGCTCCCTGACTGTCATACCATTAACTTCATTGATTACATTGCTGTAAAGCCACTATGATCTTGGCAGGAAGAGCAGTGAACTGGTATCTATTAACATTATTTGGCACATATAAATTCTCAGGAGGAAAGTATACATTTCTAGTCCTCAAAAACACTTAAAAAGCAGGAAGCAAGCACAATATAACAGATATCAGAAGACAGATAAAATAGACCAGGAAGCATTTATTTTAAAATAGCGCTAATTTTAGGCTAACCTCAGGGTGGGAAGGAGGAACAGTTCAAGATTTTGCACATTTTTCAACAGTCAACCAGTCACAAAATAGTAAAATTTGTTTTAAAACAGCAACTTACAACTTACAGTCATAAGCACAAAACCACATTTGTTCCATAGAAATATATATATGTGTAAAGCATACATGAAAATAAGGTCTTAATTTGAAATATGGGTTTTTCCATTTATAATTTGATCTACAAACTGAATGCTCTCATCTCTAGCACATAAGGCTGATTAGAAGAACTTGTTTCCTGTCCAACTAATATATTTTCTTGGGAAGCTACACGTTCCATCCACATTCACTTCCAAATTGTCCACGTGCTAAATTCTCATAGGATTGAACATACAAAGGTGATTTGCTCAAGAAAATGTTTATGACTTGAGTAGAAGAACATTACTATTTCCTGGGACAGAAAGTATTATTTTTTTATGCAAAGTGAAGTTTCCAGGATCTAAACAAACAAACACATTTCTCCCTACTTTCTCCAAGAAGTCTAGAAACAAAGAAGCCTATTAAGTGTTCAGACAAAAACCTGCAATGCAAATTAATTAGGAATAGAATATTACTGTTGCCATCAGTAGCTGCCTCACATAAATGGTGTCTACGCTAAATTAACCTGACAGCATGCCCAGCAGATGGAGCACATAGGATGAGGATGGTAACTCCAACAGAAATTGAAAAGTCAGGTCAAAACCCTTCAGGACCACTTATCTCAGAGACTAATTGTATTCTTTGTTAATATTTTCCTGCAACAAGACATTTCCAACAGCAGGAACACCACAAGAAGTAGTTTGGACACATGTGAATTTCTAAGTCACGCTAAAGCAATTCCAGGCAACATCTAAATGAGAAGTTTGACCAAAGGAGCCACTTACCAATGTCTCAGCCAGAGATTCCATTCCCAGCGGCCTCCTGCACTTCCTGCTTTGCCCTCCTACGCCCATTTCTATCTGATAGATGAAAGCAGAGAACTGATCCCATGCCCTCATTAGCTTCCTAAACCAAACTTTTAGAAAGTTTAAACACATACATGTCTGTTTTTATAACATTATTTATGGCTTGCCAGCAGGGAACGACATCTTACACCTATGGCAAAATTAAAGCTTTTTCAGTTTACACGGTCCAACACCCAGGTCCTACCTATCAATATAGTTCAATGGAAATGGAGTATCACACCATCCTGCATCAGCTGAGGAGGAGACTATTAACATCTTCCAGTAACATAAACTACAAAATGTCCTCCATCTGTCTTGTATATAATTAAATCAGATTCCCATGATGTAGAATCCACAAGGCTCTTAAGTATAAAAATACTAAGCAGCAGTATGGTGAGTGAAGCATCACCTGAGTTACTACACAATTCAATGGAGCACAGTGCAGAGAGCTGTTGAACTACTCTGCACAACATCCTGTAAATACTTTACCCAAAACACCTTATTTCTAGTTTGAGCTTTCAGCCATTGCATCCTACTATACCCTTATCTTCTGGATTACTAGAGAAATACTCTTCTATTTTCTCTGATATTTTGTTCTATGATTTTGAGCAATGTACTCTTGCCAATATGAACAAATTAGAGTAAGAATGATATGAGAAAATGCTGAATTGTTTCTGCTAGTACCCAACTGTCCCTTCACACAAAATGTAAGTAATATGACTTTCCATCTCATTAAATTACTGGTCCACCAAGTTTGACACAAATGTCTGGTATAAGGCTAAAGTATAACTATATTTTTTGTACTTTACATGGGAACAAATTTTTAATTAGGGCAAAATTAATTAATTCTACTCACTGAAGGCAGCTATCTAGCTAAAAGGGGGCACACTAGCCACAAGCAAATATTTTTGAACTTTGTTTTATTGAAGTGAGTAACGATAATATATCAAGTTTATGCAATTTGTATCACCATGAATAAAACTGTGAACTAAAATTTTTAATTCTCTGTAACAGGTTCATCAGACAGATCTCCTTCTAACATATTTGAGACATACATTAACACAAAAGCCAAACCTTCTACAGATAATTTTGGTAGGAGAAGTAATACTGATGGCTATAAAAGCTACCGTTAATGGATTAGCACAGATCAATATGTCCCTTAATATTTAATTTATTTACTAATTAATTTATAATAAATTACTAATTTATTATATAATAAGTCACTCATTTCTTTCTACAGTTCAGATTAATACCTAGATTTGCCAGTTTTTAAGACTAAACCCAACAGGCACCAGCTTAGCCCCTCAAGAATATTTTCTTCCTTGCATTTCAAAGTTATAACATAAGAAAAATGGCTTAAGTTCAAAGCAGTTTCCCTTTGGCTTCCAGTAGAGTTAGTCTTACTGAGTCAAAGTATGCATTTGATAGTTATCTCAGAAATAATCAAATACAATGAAGCATATGTTTAGCAACCTACTTAAGACTACTAACAAAAAAATCTTTCAAGGCAGCGTAAAGTAAAGCTACAAGCTCTGCAGTTTCCATTTGTTGACAAAATGAGATACAAATTTATAAATGTTTTTAAGATTGAACTTTCCTCTATTTTACAGTATTATTTCAGGCTAGATTTAAAACAATGTAAGTATGAAAATTTACAGTAGCATTTAGCTCAATGTCTGTACATTATTCAACATTATTCACTGAAATTACTTTTTCAGGGAAAAAAACAACCCATTAAAATAGATTTTGCTTATTACTGAAAACCTTTTTGACTTCACATTATATACATGCAACCTGTCTTAGAAAACAGTTCCTCTAAGAGGCTGTTTGGCTGATTTTATTAAGCACATATAAATGCATATTTTCAAAGTGGAGGAGTAAATTGATCTTTTTGCAGATTGGTGATGAAAGTAAGCTTGGAAAACTAATTCATCCACAGATATTTCCGGTAAGTTCCAAATAAATAAGAATGTTTTAAATGAAAGCTTAAATCAAAGTATATATTTTACTACATTAGTGACTTTAACACTCTTTTCTACAATACTTTAACCATTATATCTAATAGTAAATGTCTCTGTTTGAGACGTTTACCATAGTCTTAAGGCAACAATTATCTTTGCTGCATTATGAAGTTCAATTTCAGATTTCCAGGTATATTATAAGAAACACCAGGATAAAAGAAAATAGAACATACTTCACATTATCGTTCTTTTGTAGGCCTGTATATCACTCAAAAGGCCCAGTCACAGGCCAGGACCTTATTTTAATAACTGGAGGGTATCTGGAGTTAAAGGCTCACCACTGTTGTTGAATGACAAGCATTATACCCACATTGCAGTATCAACTGAATACCATCAACCAAGGAAACCAAACTCTAATAAGGAAGTTTTCTGTGTATACATGCACATAAACGTTTCCATGAAATGCACGCTCCATGGTTAAAAGCTGTGGCTGTCCTATGCAGTTGCTCACACTCTTATGAAATTATCACTTCTTATCCTTTAAAGAGAAAAATCGCCCTAAAGAACAATCAGCCCTCAATTAAAATGGAACTAAGATTTGATCATTAGTGTATTAGCTGGGCAGATTCAAATTCTGTTGCCCTTGAGAGTAGGAGTTGTTTTGCATATTATATTTCTATTGAAAGTTTTTCCAAGCAATAATAATGCATTTTTTCACTTGCCTAAATACAAAGATACATCTGCTCTGCAACAAAAAATACAAAGCAATATGCAGTAAAACAAAAAAAATTTTTTAAACAGAATTAAGACTAACCAGGGAAAATAGGTTTGGGGTTTTTTTTAAAGCAATATTGTAATATTAATCCAAATTTTATATATTTGGAATGCTTTTCAAATACCTGTTTCTCTATTAAAAGCATTTTGTTTTGTCATTGCCAGTGTAAATCACTAATAGTCCTGCTGGATTCATGTATCTCACAATGTTTAGAAAAAGCAAATTTCAAATAGAAATTCATTAATTCATGACCAAACAACTGAGAGGAATGAAAGTTGAGAATATCTTCCCCTTTTGTGGAAAGCCAAACTTACTAAAAAGACCTGTAAAAGTCAGAATAGGGATCTCATTTCCAGATTTTGGATGGAAATTCCTTTCCTTTAATTTATCGGCATTCCTTTCCTTCAATTTATTGCCTCACTTCTTTATTTACTCTCTCTAGTTTCTCTTTCTCCTTGCTGTAGACCAGATCTGTGCTAACAACCTGATGATAGAAAAGAGCATTAAAGTTGTCTCAAGTTGCAGCTGTAAATGCTTTCAACATGAAGGAATCTTTGGCCCCTCCATCATAAGAGTAGCATTTACTTGCTCAAGGCACTGGAATCCATTTGAAAGATGCTCCTTGCCATCAATACTCCTGTAATACATGTAATGTTTTCAGGCATTCAAGATAGTTGGGGGAAAAAAAAAAAAATCAAACGAAGGCAACTTGGAACTACCTTAAAGCTCTCCTTAATTACCTTGGTGGGGAGAAAGAATCCTTCAAATGCTACCACTGGTTTTGCCACTATATTCTGCACAAATATAATGTTTCTCTTTTCATTTGTCAAGAACCTATCTATATACACTAAATCTCAATAAATTTTTGGCCATTTATTTCTGCTGGCCCTTACTACTGTGTATCTACATGGTAAATTGCTATAAATTTTCAAAGACAGATATAAATGTCAAATTATCCAAACTAAACAAAACTTTCTTCTCTCCTATTCCTTAATTTAAAAGCCATTCCTTAAATTTAGTTGTTTTAAAACTCGTGGACAGTCTAATACACACCAATAATTCTTGAACCTGTAACTTTCCCGGCCACAACAACAATTATACACCTGTGATAACAACTGCTGGACTGACTTTCTCCATGTTGGAGGATGTTTGGGAAGGACATGTTAGCTGATCCTATTTTCAGATCTCTCTTCCTATGTTCTTATAAGTGATTCTTGACTATTTCCAAGCTAGATATCAGTTGCTCTCATCAACATGTCTGAACCAGAGTAATTTTTTCTTCCTTTACACAGCAAACACACTCTATTCCTCAGAGCCAAGTCTTGAGGCCAGAATAAGGATGTCTATTCCTACAGAAATTAATATTTTGCAAAGAAATACTAATTTGCTTCAAAGTGAATGCACACTGTGCAGCTTTGTGTGTGCCACTGTATGCATACACATTAACACTCAATATATTAATCTATTTGCCAGACAACATTTATTAATCAATATTAAGTTCCAGGAAGACAAAAGAAGTACTTTGTTGTGTCAGATTTTCAACACTCACATTACCATCAGCTTTTGTTTCCTTGTATTTTTTTTTTCAGATTAGGAACATATCTGTTTTAAATTTTGCTATAATTTAGGGTGAATACATTGTTATTTCCTATACAGTACAATAAGTACAATAAACATAGGAAAAAAACCTTGAAATGCTAATGCCATTAAAAAAAAGTATCAATTCATTGAAAAATACACATGACACTTTGCAAAATGTAATCTGAACAAAGAGTTCTGGTCTGATTCAGAGTAAAAACTCCTTGCTTTTAAATGTGCCTTTTGGCTAAATTAATGTAATCAGTTCCACTCAGCTTGTCTGAAATAGAAAATCAACTTACCTTTGAACACAGGGATGTTGAGTGAAAGGTCATTTGTTCAGAGAAGAGGATATTTTGGTGCAAGGGAAAAAGATGGATAAGAGGAATTATAAAACAAAAACCCGAAGGACTCTGAAATACATCATCGGCATTTACACCAAAGGCATGGGTGTCAGTAACTGGGACAATGTTTTCAGTGCAATCAATGCACCTGCACAGCACACAGAGGCAAAAATTTTAAACACATTCCAAAACAAGCATAAGCCCCAATTTACTATGCTACCTTTTCTTTGTCTAGATACATAATTAGAAATTGTATGTTTCTAGAAATACTGACTCTAAACATTGACACAACCATAGGTAGGTAATACGGAGTATCTTCACTCGTGGGTTTGTACAGAAAGGATATTTTTTCAGCATGTACAGAGTGGCCAGTCTTGAAGCCCGAAAGTTGGCTCTGACGGATCGATACACGGCCTTCCGGAGACCAATCAGGTGCTGACTAGGATGCTGTCCAGCTTTATTAAATGGGCAAGCAGCACTGACCCTGTCAAGCAAACTTGAAAAGTAAAATGTGATACAACTGTACAGATGTCCTAAAGTATTTTTAAAAGACAGTACATAAGCTTTCTTATTCCATTATTTAGAAAACTTTTTCAAACCACTCAGAAACTATGAGATTTAAAAAAAAAAAATCCATCCTATCAATGATACATTTAATCAACATTTCAGATAGCAGCCAGGATTCCTCAGTAGATAGCCTGATTCTATTCTCATCTGAGCCATGGCAAAACTCCTACGCACATTTATTTTCTCCAAAATTTTCTAAGATAATACACTAAGGGTAGACAAGGCATAACATTATCTCTGATACAAAACTATTACACTGTCAGCTTTGGAAGTTTTAATAAACAGGTATTTAACACATCTCTTTACATCTAAGTTTATTCTTTCAATAATTTTTGCAGAAAAAATGTGCCACTACATAGTTATGTGTGCAAAATACTATATTCATTTAACTTCCTCCATGCAGAAACTTTTCTAGGTCAAGAGAAATATTATTTGAGCGGTGACATAGATTTTATCATCATGCAATGAATGACAGCTGTGTTTCTGGGAGTTTTGACACGTAAACACATGAAATATATGCAACCACACAAGCACATTTGAAATTATATTTGGCATCCACCTGTTCAGGTGAATACACCATTTAAAAGAAACTGCCATTTGCCTATCAGAATATACTTCAGAATGGCTTTAGCACTGTAAGAAATTGCCTCATTTGGAAACAAAATGAATTGTGAACTGGGTGAACATTACATACGTCTGTGTAACATTAAGCTCCAGTTATATACAATCTGATGCCAAACCTATGACTGAGACACTGTAAACAGCCTAGGTGTACTCTGCTTGTTGGGACTGTGTTTAGTAGAATCAGCTTGGGAATGAACACAGTGCAGATGGACAACAGGATGATCAATTGGGATTAATTGTTTGGGGACTGGAAGCCTGCTTCTGCTCTCACCTTTCCAAGGGCAGGTGAGGAGTGAATTCATGTCCACAATCATTTAAAAGGGAAAAGCTCACAGGGTACCTGGCAAGCCTGAGGTCTGTTGCTGCCTTGGTAACTGTTTCTGTAGCCTGTCTGATCAAAAAAGCTGACTAAGTCAGCAGGCCTGACCCTGCTGGAAAAATGTCAGTCCTACTCCATGTGCTTAGCTGGGCCATGCTGAACATTGCCAGGAGGGGAAATAGCTTATGGCCTTCACTGTCAACTATGAAAAGCAATGCAGACCACCCAGTGAGCAAGGCTGGACCCGTATCAGTATGGTAAGCATGATTAACACAAGCAGATTCATGCCAAATATTGCCATATACTGAATATGCTAGCTGAAATACAATATAAAATATCTGCATACCACATTAAATTATGTGAGTGATATTCAAATGATTTATATAACATCTCATAACTTTAAAATCTGAATAAAATAAAAAAACTGTATTCATTACCATTTCTAAATGTAAATTTCAAATGCCTAGCCTAGATGTACATTTCACTAGGGAACACAGCATGTAATGCAGTACATGCCAAGCTTTAATGTTTCTCTAGCTTTCCAAGGTAATAAGTGGAAGTATTTATATATAAACTCTCACATCAGTTTGTAGACTCAAGCCCAGGGGGAATTGTCAGAAACAGGCTCAAAGAAAAGGAGGAAAATTCTTCTACTGTAAAAAAGAGACAGAGGTCCATGTTCTTCTATAGTGATGCAAGCATTTCCAACTTCTATACAGAATAAATATAGCACAACTCATGCACAGCACGTAGTGCCAGTATTGAGCAAAACAATCTGTTTTCCTTCTGGAAAGGCTTGATTCAGTCTTTTCAGAAAAGAATTCTTCTTTATTCCACTAATCTTAGATTAGTATAATTTGTTATAAATGTCTACACGTCATATCCCTAACTTCCTAATATTTCATTTATCTTCACAAAATCACAGAATTGTTTGGGTTGGAAGGGACCTTGAAGATCCTCTAGTTCCAACCACCCTACCATGAGCAGGGACACCTTTCACTAGACCAGGCTGCTTGAAGCCCTATCCAGCCTGGCCTTGAACATTTCCAGGATGGGGCATCTGCAGCTTCCTGTGTCCCACCACCCTCATAGTAAGAATTTCTTCCTAATATCTAATCTAAACCTGCCCTATTTCAGATTAAGCCATTCTCCCCTGTCCTATCACTACATAATCTTGTAAAAATTCTCTGTTATCTTCTATATATTTTGACTTACAAAATGTTATCAGCTTTGCATATCAGCCACAAGAAGCAAGAAGAAAAAAAGGTTAAGGATGAATTTTCTTTCCAGACCCATTTTACTTGTAAAGAACAGTGACATATTTCTCCATTATTTTCACAAGCTAAATCTTAAATTGGCTTTCAACTTCCGACAAACTTATATAGACACATTGAAACCTATTCCTGCACTCTAACATGAAAGCTGTTCTATAAAGATGCTAATATGCACCAACACGTGCTCATAGGGTTTAATTCCAGTTTAAAATATAGTAGAAAGGGAGCATTTTGGAAAAGAAGATAATTATTTCAGTGACAGGCAAGGGAGTAAATATTTGCTGCTTATTGCTGCAGCCTTTCATTATGTATTCCTTCAGTTCTCATTTTATAATGTGCAAGACAATGGACATACTTTCATTACCCTGCAGAAATTCCAGGCTGCAACCCATGATCAGGCTTCATTTGTCTAATTACAAATGAAGCAATTAGACAGAAATACTGCCTTTCTGCCTGAGTAGAGCATTGCCTAACCTTTGCTACACAATTTCTGTAATCCAAATTACCCAGGTGAGATCTTGGCCATCTCTGCATCGCAGAGCTTGTACGAGTAGGCACACCTGAAACGCCAACAGCAGCACTAAACACTTCTGAAGGCCATTCTGGAATCAGAATATCAGAATATTTTTGAGTAGCTAATATAAGAAAAGCCCGACAGGATTACAGAATCACAGAACAGTTAAGGTTGGGAGGGACCAATGGAAATTATCTAGTCCAAGCTCCCTGCTCAAGTTCTTAGTTCCTATTCTATACGGCTGCTGTGAGTTTTATTGGGTGGGAGGGGAATGAAGGCAAAATTACGTTTGAATGATATTTCAGTATAGCAGTCTCTACTACACAGTAGTAAATACTGAACTAGTGATGACCAACCAAAACCTCATCAGAAATAATCTAGCATTTACAGAGACAGTCCAATATCAATTAATAAGGGGCAAATAGGGTATAATAAAGCAAAACCATAGATATTTCAAAGCATATATAATTTAGCCTAAAAAAATAGCAATGGATGGTGCAATGGGGAAGAAAACCACGAGCGGAGCACAAGGAACTTCAGCTGCAGACCTGGGCTTGCCCTATCACAGTTTAGCTAAGAACAGCTAGTCAAAATCTGAACTTGGTACTATTTGTCTGCTTCAGTATCTTTCCATTCACAATATGATTAATGCACAGCCCAAAGTATGCTGAGCTAGCAGTACCTTAAAACACTTGCCTATGTGTCACTGACCAGGATGCTGCACTACCTGATTGAACTCTCATTCTTTAAGGATGTAAAATAACACAAGACAATACTCATTAACGTTTCAGATGCAACCATTTCTATTGCCACGTGACTCTTTCTGAACAAGCACTAAGACTCTGACAAGATTACTACAGGAGATCGTACTAAACTTTGTTCTGCTGAGGTTGATCATATACAAAGCGCTACCTCAAGCAAAGAATTTCTCATTGACCTGTGCAGCAGCATCTCTTGCATATGTGGATGTAGGAAAGGACACTCTGGAGTTAGAACTTCCTCCAGGCTAGACCAAACCAAAACTTGTACAGCACTGACTTCTTTATACTATACAATTGTTCCAATGAGGATGTCAGTCAGCCTTCTCCCACTCCATTCATACTCCAAAGTCTTTTGAAAAGTTTGCCAAAGTTTTAAGTAAAGAGGCTATTAGATCAAGCATCAGCTTAAAGACCAGTCTGTTTTTTGTTAATCTGTTATCTAAGAAATGTAGTAAAAGAACAAGGCAGCAGCAATTTAGACACTGACCACAAGTTCGTTTGCTTAAACTTCGGCAAAAATCCAAATGTTTTTCTCATTTGTAATTCGGACAAGCCCTAACAATAATTTCTTTTAAGAACCCGTTTGCAAAGATAAGACTGCCTATTGCTTAACTATATGCTTCTTCAGCAAAAAACCCAGATCAAAACAAAACACATAGCTAGGCAGACTGAACACATGCTTATGCATTCCGAAGGGAGAACGAAACGTTTCTTCAATGAAGCACACTGAAGGTATCTCAAGCTAGAAAATTAATCCAAAATTTCAAGTCTACAGTTTCAAGCTTGCATGTAAGAACATGTGCCTGAATGCAGAATAGTTGGTCTGGCACGAACAAACAACTTCTTGGTGCATGCAAGGGAATTTCTTATTGTTTTTAGAAAGAAGTCAACTGTATTTTAGGTGTTGGCGTTTCTCACCTCCTTTAGCCTTAAGTCAAACTGGCACAGGTATGTATCTCACCACAGGTTGTTACAGGGGAAAAGCATCCATGCCAATGAGAATGCACAGAAGCAGGCCTCTTGGCTTTGGAATCATTGCATACACTGAACACATTCTGATGTCCTTTCACATAGCAAATAAGCAAAACTTACCAAATCACTACAAGAGCTAAGTAATCAGAAACACTTTCACACCCCTTAAGTGAAAGAGAGGCAAATTCAACAGTAACTAATTTAAGAAGCTAAACATTTCAACAATTGTATGCAAGAAAAAAGAGTAATATTAGCTTTATTTGAGGTGGGAAATGACCTTTGATGGTCTTGCTGATTACTTTGTTCTCACTACTTCAGACTGTTATTTGTTAAATAAAAATAGAATGGTTTTCATGTTATCTTGTTTTCTAAACTATGAATGATTACTTGCAGATCAGTTTATTTACATATATTTGGTAAATAAGATAAAAAAAAAATCTCAAACAACCAACTCTCTAAATGACTTCCCAAAATCTTTAACTGAATTAGTTCAAAATCCACTTCTTTGTGTATTTCATTGCTAGTAGAGCAGGAGATTTCGAAGACACATGAGTCTTGTGAGACTTAATTCACCTTCAGGATGCAGGGTTTTAACACTGAGTTGTTAGAATTCATTCTTTTAGTATGAATTGCAATTATACTATTTTATGTAAGCAAAAACCTTTAAGTACTGTTTTTCAGTAATTCCACTTGTTACAGGAGACAGTGTAACAAGACAATTTTAGAAGACAGCAGGCTTGAATGGATCTGTGTATTAAATAAATTGAAATACAGACTCACAGGGTAAATCCTCTGGAAATTACTTCAGTCTCTTGAATGAGTCGTAGAGCTTTCCTCACGAGATTAGTAAAAGCTCGGCTATTTGCCACTGTTTCTTCCAGCTGGATACAGTATTTTCGCAGGGACATTTGCAGCTTGGCTGTCCTCCACGTGCCCCATACTCTAAAGACTGCATAGACAAGCAGAACTAGTCCCCACAGCAGCCACGATGATTCCTTCCACCACGAAGGAAGCATAAGCAGTGCACTTACAAAGGCAAGAAACAGCGAAACATCCCTGCAAACGGAGAAAGTATCATCAACCACAGATTCCTGAGGTCAAACAAGAGGTAAAAAAATCCCAAAATTTTCAGTTACATTTAGGATTAGAACGTCTTATTATGAGGCTTTTATGTAGGCCCTGAAGGGAGCTGTGAACACCAAAACCTACGCTAGTAGCAGACTTAGATAAATATGTACATGATATTACATGCTTAGTATACTCTAAGGAAACATTTCTCCAGCTTTTTATAGCATGAGTAAAAGAATAATACCACTTTGAAAGGTCAGTTTCTCTTACATGTGACTTAAAAAAAAAAAAAAAGAAAAAGAAAAGAAAATAGAAAAAGAAAAAACCTGACTACTCAGAATTATAAGCCAGGGCGTGTAGGAACCGTAATATCTGTACTTCCAGGTTCAAGAGTACAGTAGGGAAGGGCATGTTTCTTTTGGTAGCAAATCCCTCAAGTAATGCCAGCTGTATTTTTTCTAGAGTCTGACTCATTTAACTTGGACACCAACGCACTACTAGTTTTTAACACATTTTTATAAATATGGCTTGAATAATCATTTAAAATAATTTGGCAGCTTTTGAAAACCCTTGAAGAAGAGAGTTCCTAGTATCTCATTCAGTTATTTCTAAAGGACATTTCAAAAACTTCACAGTTATTTTTTTTCTAGAAAAATTCAACATAAATAACTGCTAAAAAATACACTGTGTTTCAAATATATTACAGTTTTGTAAAATAATTACAATCTTCACAGAGATGGATGGGAAATTGGCTTCAAGGTGCGTTTCAACTACAGTTTTTCAGAATTTTTTCAATGAAAAATATTCACTTTCTTTAGACCATAAAGCTGTGTATCCTGCATTTAGATTCGGAAGTATTCACAAGGAATATTTTTCCATTTCTAAAATAAGACATGGTCTCTGGGTTTCTATTTTCTGGATGGTTTTGTGGGCAAATTTCAACAAGCTTTACAAGTGTTAACTTTTCGGGGCTACTGGCTCCTGATAGGTTTCAGTAGAGGTCCAGGGTTAAAATAGTCCAAAATAGTCCCTTTAAAAGGGACAGACACACAGTCTCTAACTTCCTTGGTAAATGAAAAAAATAAATCACAACAATTAAAAGACTAAAAGGGATATAAGAACTCACTTCGTCCATTTTCAGTTTCTGGTTAGCCCAGATCATCATGGACAGACCAAAGATGAGACTTCACAACCCATGCAGAGAGCCATTCCAACTCATGAGTACCCGTAGAGTTCAAAAGATTTCCCTCAAGTTCAGTCTGAATCACTGGCAGACTAATTGTATTATTTTTCCTCACATCCTTCCCTTTTATGAACAGAACAAATGACAACTGATCCCCACATTCCTAACCACCTTTTACACATCCTAACACTATCAAGTCCAGTTTCTTTTCTGGAATAGTACTGCATATCCAATTATTCATCACTTTGTGTTTATTAATTTAACTTTTCCTTCCCAAGTGCAGCATTAGACTTTTGTCTTTATTGACTTTTCTATCGATTTCAAGGTATTTCTCCAATCTAATTTTGACCCTCTATTCTATGAAAACACAAACTTGGTGTCATCTGTAAGTTGAGCAATATTCACTTATTTTGTAAGTGTACTTTATCATCTGAGCAGTTAAAGAAACCGAATAATGCTAGGACCAGAAAAATCTAGTTCAAAAGTTCTCTTGTTTGACAGAGAGCATCAATAATGACATAACTTAAACAGTTGGGGTTGACTATAATAATTTTATCTATTTTTCTAACATACGTATGAGAAAATAGCACTGGACTGTGTTATAAGATTTTTATCTACTGATTCCTGTCTGTTTCTGAGCAAGACACTCTGTCAAAACAACAACTGGCCTTGTTATTTTTCAAATACAGGTGTTAGTTGTTCAGATAATGGTGCAGTCAGCCCCCTCAGTATTCTTGAGTCAATTCCACACAACTTTCTTGACTTCAATGCATCCTTTTAAATAGTTATTAGTTTATTTTTCTGGTATTCTACATCTGAATACTAATTGCACATCCCACCTCACCTCTCTCCCCTGCAGCATATTTTATGAAGACCACAGCAAAAAACCCACTTTTCAATTCAGTCCTCACAATCATGTCTCATTTCTCAAAATCACCTTTGTATAGCTTTAGAAATTAATTAATTAATCAACCATGTTAGTTCTTCCTAATAGAATATATTAGTTTGGAAGTATCCATTCATGTTCAAGTAGCTATCTCAGATTAAAATTCACTCTTTGAATAAAATGCCTGAAGAAACAAAACATTCTTATAAAAAGTCTGAGGACTAGTGGACCAAAGACCAAGGACCTGCGAAAAAAAGTTACTTTAATGCTGCATTTTATTTCAAGAACATAGAATATATTTTTTACTTGTTTCTCAGTGAATATAGTGGTAGATATTCTCTATACAATACCAAATATTAGGAGTTGCTAGGGAGTGCAGTGTTGGAAGCTGTCTGTTTTCCTGTTGCTTACACTGCCCCGCAGACAGGATACTGGGGTCAAGGAACTCAATCAGTTCCACATCCTCCTGCAGCAGAACTTCCTGTTGCAGGATGGTACGGAGCGTGTCAACTCGAAATCCAACATCCTTACCACAAACGGGCAGGAGAAAAAACAGGCATTAGTAAAGAATATGCAGATTCTTAAAATTAAGTTAGCAGAAGAAGGAAAACACCCAGACACTCTACACTTTACTGACAACAGTCTATTCTCAAAGAGTACAGGTATGTTTCAGATATATCACAAGTAGCTACTTCATTTTTATTAAACTTGTTAAACTTTAAAAACTCACATACAACCTAACAGTTCAGATTTGCAGGATGCATGACACTGACTTTGTGATCTGACCTAGATAGTAACAATAACTGGAAAGAGGCCACAGAGTATGCCAATATATTTGCATAAGAATCAGAGAGGTCCTGCATCTATTAGAAGATCATTACTGAAACAGTAAACACTCTTTTTTTAAAAATGTCATGACATCATTTATGTCATTAACAAACAAAAAACAGAGAAAAAAAGAGAGATATTGCAAATTGGTCAACAAAAAGTCACTTGTGGACACTTAGTAACAGTAGGGTTAAAGCACCGGACTCAAGCCCCAGGCCAAGGCAATGAAGTCCTCTCCTGCAGGATTCTGTACCTTTCCCAAGGAAACTCAATCCAAACATGAAACAGTATAGGGCTCTGAAGACCCCCCACTTGATAAACTCCAGGCAAACTTTAGGGAGCTACTTACTTATGAATTTGATGCCATGATAATAATTTGTTACTTTTTTCCCTACTATAGGTCTTCAAGTCAAATATGCAGTTCTTGAAGACAAATATGTCCATCAGAGAAGCCCATAGCATAGCGCACCAAACCATAATACAAAACATTTTAATTTAAGAATGTCATAACAAAACCCAACAAACACTGAACATGTGCATCTTTGTACCTAGCTAATTACAGGAGAGAAAGGAGAATATTTCTGAAAATCCTCTAACAGAAGCTTTTAACACAAGTGTTACATTTCACAGTACAAAATCTGTTTAGTTCTGTCATTGACAGAATGAGATTCTTTATGAAACCATAGGATAGCTGGTTTAAAAGTTTAATTCCATACACTGATGTCACCTCAGATAATCTGCATTCTACTTTTAATGGAAAATGTTTTTTTCAGGACTGTGTGCAAGAGAAAAAAACTCTGCCCTCCTCCAACGCATCCTGTGTCATTTCAGTACCCTACTTTGTAGTACACAGCAGGACAAACAGGTTCTCCATGTTTTTCGGTTATGCCTCCATCTCAAGAAAGTAAGGCTAAAAATTGCTGTTAAGATAATACCTTTTGATTCATAGGGGAAGAGGGAGGATGAAAAAAGTCAATCAAAGATCACTAATGAGAGATTTCAGAGGAAATTTTGTTCTCCTGAGATAAAGTAGAAGAGATAGCAATTGGGTTCAGCAGAACTCTCTGAGAAATGGAAAAGTCTAACTTCTCATGTTGCTCAAAATTTTCTTTTGAAGCTATATTTTAAGATGTCAACCCTACATCATAGTAGGAAAAAAAAATCAAAATTCTAGATTCTGGAACAGTCTGACTAAGGTGACATTCGCAAGCCTGAAGCAGCTGGGTACAAGTTAAAGCAGACCTGAGACAAGCCCAGACTGGAGATTGAACTGGCTAGAAAGTGGTGCTGCAGAGAACAGGTATAAAGGCAGCATAAAATTACTTTTAACTAACTGGGGTAGAACTATCCCCCTTCAGGTCTCTAATCCACACAGGCTGACTTGAGCCCTAAATGATCCTGCAGGCTCCAGGAGGAGGAGAATACAACCTCTGTTGGGGCACGCAACCTGCTTCTGAACTGCTGAAATGAGAGCACATGGGTAGCACAGAGAACCGATATGGCCTCTCCCTACAGCCAGAGCGCTGCACGGACGTCTGTGCTCAATGGCAGTACTGTTCTGAAGTATTAGAATGGAGGTGCCTTAGTTTGCTTTGCTTCCCCCAAAGGTAGAAGCCCTGTGGACAGTAATGCAGAAATGAAGAGGCCAGGATGGGTCCAGGGCTAGTACAGCTGCACTGCAGTGGTGCTATGCCTGAGCCAACAAGCTGAAACAGAGGGTGAAGCAATACTGAGGTGAAGCCCTAGAGCCCTCTGTCTTAGGCAGTCTCTGCAAGGCACTAGGCTGCAACACAAGGACTTTCTCAGTTAGTATCTCCCCACTGCCTTCCACCAACGGGGATACCTACACGGCGGGTTAACTACCTTCAGCTTTCAAGAACTGCTTTAATTTCTAACATATTTTATCTTCTCTTCCACATTTTGAACATCTTCACCCTGGCTACTGATACTATTCCTGTCCTTTTGTGCCCAATTTGGCACAGTAATTCTGAAAACCAGAATCAGTACTATCTGAAGAATAAGTAAAACTCTTAAGAGCCAAAACCAACAATACAGACCAAAGATGTTGCTCAGAGGAGCAGGAAGACCTGTGGATTAGGAAAGGAAATGGAAAAATAAAAAAGGTGAAGTGATCACTTACCAGTCGGTGAAGTATGTCATCGTTTTTCTTATACTGTGGAAAAGGAAACCAGCTTCTAAAGAACTCAACTAGTTTTGACAGGATGCCTTGCTGAAGGGAACAGAAATTATTCCAATTAAAAAAACCAAAACACCAAAAAAACCTCCAAAGCCAAAAATAAATAAATAACAACATACAATGCTTTTACTTCTGCATTTGATTTTCTTGTTAGCTCAGACACAAGTACCTGTAAGGAAGTTTCACTTACTGTGTCTGGCCTAACTTCACAGTACACTAAGTGAACATCTGCTTCCTGTCAGTTTGCTTGTACACAAGAGAATAAAATAAAGCTTTCAGTAACCCCACCTATTTGGAGCATAATAGATTGTTATGTTGTTCTGTTAAAAATAACTACAGCTAGAATTAGTTTGATCTCGAGTTGGCAGCTACTGCATCGATATGAAAGACTTTCTCTCTCCTGGAGGATAAAAAGGTAACACGTTAAATGGTTGACAGGGGCTGAAAATAAGTAAAAGACTGGGAGAGGGCAGCCCACTGCAGCTTGAGAACAAGGCTCCAGAGGAGTTGTGAACAGAGACAGGGAATAGTGAGGGTAAGAAGAGAAACTGTCCAAACCAGTGTGTGCTATCAGGTCCTTTGTCTCCATACTGCTTCCCCTGCAACCTAAATCCATACTTTTGTCTGAGCTGTAAACATAACTTCAAATGCCTTTAATTAGAGGGACTCCCTCTCAGTCATCACACATTTTACTCATGTATCTTCCTAAAACATGATGCATGACAGATTATAATTGAATAGATGCACAATTTTGCTTCAGTCTGCAGCCATCCAATGAAAAAAAGAAGCAGCTTTTGACACACACTGTATATCTACTTTCCTCAGACTGAACTGACAGGAAGTATTTTTCAAAATATTTACTTACATATATTTCATGAATTCTTAGGCCCTACCTCTTAATCTTCAGACTGCTGACATGTAATACAATCAAACAAATGCATGGCAAAAGAAATTGATTGTGAAGTGCTTACATTTTGTGGTATACTTCTTCAAAATAAAAAAACAAAACTCCATACAGATTCTAATAGCTAAATGTATAAAAGGTGACAGCTTCTGTTTCTCCCTCTTGGTTTTTTGGGTTTGGTTTTTTTTCTTTTTTTATTCCCCTCTTCTTTGTTTTTTTTTCTTGGTTTCCCCACAACTATAAGGTGGGAAACCCAAGCAATAGGAGCTTGGAGCTTTGCAGTTAGCCCCATGACCAGCCTGACAGCCTTCTGAAAGGCAGTGTGACAAGTCTGGCACAGCAAGCCAGAGCAGCTTCAACATCAGAAATTGTCACCTTAAAGCCCTTAAGCTTCAACAGTTTTTGAAATAACTTAATTTGGTGCCCACTTAGGTAATCTAACTCAAGTGTTTCTTCCATATGTCTCATCTTTCTGTGTATAGTTAGAATTGCAGACCTATGCCAAAAGGAAGTGTTTTTAGGTCAGTGAAGAGGTAAAACAATAACATGAATTTCATAATGATAGCTCTTCCCAATACACTGACACCATTGTGGCTTATTAGGAGGAGCTATTCCAGCAATTCACACTTAAAGACTATGGAATAAATCCAAGTGATTCTATTTTGACGTTGCTCAAGGGCAATGACATAAATTGGAAGAACGGCACAAACTGCAACACTAGATTATCCTCCGAGGATCTTGTACAGTGGTGCAAAAGAAATCAAAATTTTCTGATTAGAATTTGTAGAAAATTGAAATTACATAAACAAAGGTCTTGCTCTGCATTTGAATTTCAAATAGATACTCCATTCAGAATTCTTTTCCTTGTACGTTGAAAGCAGGGCACAAAATGAACTGTCCATTTAATTTAAGATTATGCCTCTTGAAGCCTACCGTTTTCAACTGCTTAGCTTTTCTTAAGTCTTCTGATTTTTATCATGAACATTTAAAGCTACACCAAGAATAGTTTTAAACTGCTACCAGCTTACTAAACTAAACTGTGGAGTTACTGAAAAAAAAAATAGTGTGCTACGTAAGTAATCTTTCAGTTTATTCTCTATGTTTTAGTTTAAAAATAAAAATCCCAGCTTGCGTAAACCCTCAACAGGAATGTCAGTGCTTGAAAACACAAACTAAGACAATCCACTGTCTTGGGCTGTGACCCAGTAGAGTACACACTAAATTATTCAGATCCTTGGAATAGTGTCTCACAATTTGCATTCCCGTTGGGAGTGTTACTGACAAGTAAAACAACTTTCTCCAAAACACAAGTCAGGTCATGTAGCCAATGCTTCTGGAATATTCTTACAACTTTAGAACACCACTCAGTCAAACTCTCTCTGTAAACTAAATAACAAAGATGTATAACTCCTAACATTTAAAAAAAATAATAGCATAGGACATGCACATTTTAGGTACATTCATTTGAATCTAAAAAAATTCTAAGGACTACTTCTCTTTTGTAGAGAAATTCTGTGCATTACAGAAGAAGATAATGCTACATATTATATACCTTGCAGCTACCCAGAACTAGCATAAAGGGGGTGGGAGGCCTACACTTAGGTAAAGGATGGGTCCCTCTGCCATCCCACATCAGGTCACCTGCACAGCCACTGAGGGCTGTGCACTGAACCCCAACACAATCCTCTGTCTCCAGCACCAGCTCTGTTCTAGTGATGAAATATTATCATATCTAAGAGGGGATAAGGTGTGACAGTACAATCAATTTAAACATTCAGATATGCACAGCAGTCTAGGAAAATGACTGAGAAAGGAAAGGTGTAAACAGGAAGAGATACATTCCCTAAAGATCAAGCAGAACTACCCAAATAGGATTTCATTCCAGAAAACAGGTCTAGAGACCAGAACTTTAGCTGTAACTTTCTCCAGAGATTAGTACAGCCAGGAAAACGGCACCTATAATTACTGTGCTTAATCACATCTCTATACTTTATCAGATGGGAGCCTGGCATTTCACCAGTCTCCAGAACAGAGCCTTGAAACACCTTTGCAGCTTTTCAGCTCAATGTTCGTTAAGAACATATTCTGATTAAAAAAAACCCAAAACACCACCAAAACCACACCTTGAGAACTATTTAAGATGTGCTTCAAATTCAACTGTCTTTCTTAAGCCTGAACCACATGCTCTGTTTGGCAGGACAGCAAGACACAACAGAAACATTTGTATCAGTCACTAGGAACCTCCTTTTTTTCCCAGATTTGTTTTTTTCACTCCCCGAAGATCCCGAAGTAGATCTTTGTCATGCCAAATTCTTGCTACATGTCACCAGATTGCAGCTGCATAGGGTTCCTACTTGACTGAATACAAGAGGAGGAAACAATCTCAACTGAAAGACAAAGCAATACCTCTGTCTTTTACATTTTTATTTTAATAAAGTGTTAAAGGCATTTGGAAACTTGCTTTTCAGAACCGAAGGAAAATGATACCCATATACTAGGAATCACTCAGTATGGAACACCATCTACCCCCTGTGACCATAGTTACATTAAGCCTCAAGGAATATAATTTTATATTAGGACTGTGGGTAGGTATATATGCAGAAGTCAAAAGACGTTTACTTTCTAGACATTTTATAATTTCAGTAGACTAGGCCAGCAAGGGCCGAGAGAAGGGAAATGATAACAGTCTTGTGTACAACTGAGGAAATGACTGGACAGGCAAATTATTTGCCTGTATGTCATACAAAAGTTTCAACAAAGCCTCAGATCCTCCTAAATCCAGTCTACTTTTATAAATGCATGGCCAGCTGCCTCGCCCTCATTCTCGTTCCTTTTAAGACACTCTACCAAAATGGGACACAGGAATCAAATGACAAAAACAGACTTTCTGACATCAGATTACAAAAGAAAAGTGTTAACGCTCCCAAACTGGTACTGGAATAGCAGTAGGAAAGAACCTATGGCATTTTATCACTAGAAATTACAGGATTCTTCCTTATTTCCACTAAGTATCCTTGTCTAGACAGTGATGAGACAATATGAACGTCATCCTAGCATTTGTAAGAAATGGACAGCCCATTTTCACACACTCACTTCCTTCAAGTTGCAAGGCAAACCATGATGAATTACTTCTACATCTGACACAATACTGGAGGACTTGCTCACAACACAATAAAATTAAGTGTAAAATGCTTGAGGGGTAGGGAGGGGGAAAAATAGAATACTTGAGGCTTTTAAAAGCCGTATATCTTAATACTTTTGAGATTCTTAATCCCACAGCACTTTTGTATTAAACTTGGTGGAAACTATATACATGAACACGGTATTATACTGCTTTTCTGAATTCCATGTAAGTAACTATGCAAAATAAGGTAATGCAGCTAAGTGACAGTCCATGCATTACTTCATAGTAATGAACAGAATATGAGCCAATGAAATATGTCACCCTAACTTTCAATTAACAGTGAACAAATTTTAACGTTTAAATAAATAAACAAATCAACAAACATTTAATTAAAGTCTTCCTGCAGTAAGTCAGAATAGGTATCTTCAACATAAATACACCACAGAACCGCCAATAGCTATAAAGGGAAAATATATTTTCAGGTGGTTTCTTGAGGGTTATGGTGAGTGCCAGCTGACAATTCTGAAAAGCAAGGGCAGTAGACCTAATACTTCCATGAATATTTTCAAAAGCAGTTCAAAATAAAGAAAATTGTGAGCTAAACCTTGATCTAAATTCAGCCTTGCCCTGTGACCACCGATAGAAGTAATCATTATTACAAATGCAATACCTGTCCACATAAAGAGTAACTAGAAATTAATTTATTCATTAAATTTAAAATAATCTTTCATTAGAAAAACCAGCCAAGGAAACATGGAGATGCAGCAAGAATCACTTTTCCTCCTCCCCTCAGTTAATCTCACAAATCCTCAGCACATGAAACTGGAGTTCTGAACGAAGCTCCTTCATAATTTTTTTCTCCGTGATTGCTGAACTCTTTGAAAAGCTGTAAACTCTAGAACACTGCTGAACAGTACTAAACTTAATGATTCTTACTGTAGGGTGGTTATTCTTTACAGGCTGCCTAATCCATGTGCTAGGCATGCAGTGGTACTTACTGGTCTGCTCAATGGATATGCACCCTGCATCTTATCTAATGGTCATCTCTGATCAGAAAGTGGGGCATGAGAGAAGGAAGACATGGCACACTTCCATAAGAAGGAGCACAAGTCTCAGAACCCGGGGATCGAGGACACGAAGCACAGTGTGCAGTGCAGCTGCCCAACAGGTAACAGAAACTATGACCAATCTATCTATGAGGAGACTCCAACAGCACTGAGGACCAAAGCAAAATGTTTCATGTTTTATTACCCTGTCTTTTCAAATGGACTAATGAGTGTGTAAGGAAGTTTATACAGTCTGTACAGAGTGGTTGAAATGAGTATCATTATATGAAAATATGAGCCATGAACACTTCTCTGAATACCGCTAGATGAATAAGCTTCACACTGCAGCTTCCAAATTTCCACTTCAAAGACTGCACAAGTCAGTAATTTCAAATACACTATACTCTTGCAAACACTTCAAAAAACACACCTTCTTCCTCATATCAGAAAAAAAATGATTTATGTTATCCACATAAATTTGTACACTTCTGAATCTTATCCCACCTAGGATCCCACACAGAGCAAAACAGATTAAAAATCTTACAAGAAAATAATGCTTCTGACCTAAAACAAATGAGGAACCAAAGTGACACACACAAAACTGAAAAAGAATTGTTGAAATAAAGCCTAACTGTGACTAACTTGGCTAATTCTTTGAAGTATCTGAGAACTGAGTAGAGGATATACATTAAGACAGCATTATTTTTAGAAAAGACTCCAACAAAAGCATCAGCTCTCCTCATTTGTCATATGAGTCCCCATCCACCAAAACCTGCAGGGAGAACTTCTGGACATCTCAGTGCCATATCATCTTGCCCGTGTTTGGGAAAAATAGTATGTTTACTGCCAGCTAATTGGAAGGGTGGAACATTCTGCAGCAGGAAAGCAGCAGAGGTTACAAACAAGAGGAAAGGGGCTGTGGACCTCTGATTTGAAGATGGTAGAAGAGAAATAAAGCAGAAATGAACAACAGGAAAACTGAGCCGCAGTAGGTTAAAAGCCACAGCAGGCAAGATGGAAGCTACCACAGATAGTGGTGAGAGAGGAGCAAGAAATGGCAACTCTTCAGAGGCAACGCACCAAGGCATGGATGCTTGGTTTGAGTTCCTACCTGAGGCACTGCCCAATTCAGCCTGCAGTGACTAGGACAGAGAAGTCCGCATGGCACCTCTTTCCTCCTGGCTTAGCACATAGCTGGAGCACATCCACTGTAATTTGAACTCTCCACTGTGAATGTGAAAGAGGTAGGCAGAAAAGTACTGCTCTTCACAGGCTCTATCTAAGTGCTAAAGGAGAAGACCAACTGATTTTTCAACAGATTTGCTGCAAAGAGTTTCCTACATCAGCTGCCTCAAAAGAGGAATTTTCTCGCCCACTCCAGAGCTCCTCATCTGAATCGCATTGCCTGTAAACTACCAGTAACAGTAAAACAGAATTTATTTTTAATAAGGAAAACAAAAAATGTGTAGGCCATAGTAGGTGTTAAATGGTCAAATTCTCAATCAGTTTTAATACAAAAATGTTTAAAAAATCCCCAGGCCTTTACTTAAAAGGATAGAGAATTAAGAATTCTGAGCTAATTAGTTGATGATTCTTGTCAGCTGTTACTGTTAGAAAATTACCATACCCTAAGCACAATTCTACTATCTCATTCAGATTGGTTATTGCATTTATACTTCCCAGAAATCCTCTTTCTTAATATGCTTTATCACAGACAAAGCTATACTTAGCAACTGAATGCCTGAGAAGGGCTGGGAACTATAAATACTCTGTTCCAGAAAATTACAGGTTCTATTCCCAGAATGTCATGCTAAACTAACATAACAATATCCACTAAATAAGATAATTTACAACACTCAAAAAATTATTTATCAAAGTCTCTTGCTTCCCTAGTTTACATAAGTGCAAAGAAACACTCCAAACTATACTGATTAACCACGAGTTTCCAAACACATTTGTAGGTAAGATATGACAACTAGCTGTGGTTTATTGTTTTTTCTAAATACAGTAAGAGATCTATCTTTATACTGATTTTGCCTATTTGTGAAGCAATGTAGTTCTCTTTTGAAAAGATAAATACTCAGGAACAGGAGAGCGCTCACTTTCTGGGCAGCACGCACAGTCCGCTCTTTTTCTTTTTCCGCTGCTGCACATTGCTCCGCCTTCTGCGACGCTGATGAGCATACTTCAAAATCCGTGTGTCCCAAATCCTGCAGATACTGGTAGAGTGGGGAATTCTGAAAACAGAGTTATAAAAAGAAAAATGAGAAAAAAAAAAACGTTAAAAATCATTCCTTGTTTCCCACAAAACACAACTGTGAATACAGCAACCACACAACCAGCAACAAATGGACTGAGAAATGGAAAAAAAAATTAGAAAAAGACTTCTGCTCTCTCCAAGGACAGTACCAGCACTTCTGGCAGAGTACCACAGTTATTAAAAAAATCCCACAGCGTACAAACAAAAAAACCACCCAACTTCTTTAAGCTTCTGGCAAAACTACTAATTTACAAACAGTCCTAAATAAAACAGAAAAAGTATGAAATTATGATCACCAGAGAGTGGGTTTTTACATGTTTAGATATTTATCTATATAGATCTCTGAAAGTTCTTATTGTCATCTGCACCAGATATCTAGACATACTTAACTCTTACTTTGCTGTTTACAAACACATATATGGCAGTATGTAGGACAGACTTGACGGAAAGGATTTTTATGCTAACTGCAGTTCCACTCAGGACATGCAGGGACTTAATTTTTAAGAGAAACTCTCAGCAATCAGTCTTATATAGACTAGTTAGGGATTATTTTTGACGTCTGAAAAATTTTATCAACATCCCATGAGAGCATGTGATCACCAGTAAACTGCATAAGAACACCAACATTTTAAGAGTTTAACACACTATCAACCAACATACTGTGTATAAAAAGTAAAAGCTTTGCAGTAAATAATGCAGAGTTATGGAGGTCTACAGAAATAACCAACAGAGCACCTACTACTAATTGTTACATCAACTATCATTAACTTGCTGGTGCAAGTTGGAAAGGTGGCCCAGCTACGCTGATCATGTACCAACATGGCCAAATCTCAAATACTGCTTGCCACACAATAAAAGTTGGAAGCAATCATTCATACCAGTTGAACAAATTAATTTGTTACCTCTAAGGATTTCTTTAACCCAACCCCAAAGTGCTGTTTTAATCACTCTTACCTATTTAAAGCATGCAAATTCATACTTTTGCTCTGTTTGAGTTACAACAGATTCAGTGTCCAGTCATTACCTGAAACTCAAATATTTGTACCAACTCACAGGTACAGACAATCCTGGCTCAACCACAATGACAACGATTGTGCAAAACACTAGGATAGGTTAATGACTCATTTCCTTGTGAGAATTTTTCCAGTGTGACAACACAATCCTATCTTTTTTCCAAGTATCCTTCCTCCATGGTTGAGTACTTTTTCAAAATGCATCCAACACTAATTAAACAATGTGCTGTCCTGGACTGCCTCTTTGGCTCTAAGTAGAACATGCCACTTTACTAGAATTACTTAATTAAAATGGAAAGACTAAATAGTAATAGTAATAATAGACTAGAATACTTCTCCTATTTCAGACACTGTTAAATTCACCAAATAACTTCAGGGCCAAACTCAGAATATAAATGGAAATGCATAACCTTGTCTTCTTACAATGGTTTTCATACAGAGCCAGGCTGTGCACTGCCAGCATAGCTCAGACAACCTGAACACCCTCGCACGAGAACCATTAGGGTATCATGGAGGTTTCAGTCAGAACCAGCCAGAATTCTCCCCATCTGGATGAAAACACAGACAAAAAAGTGGGTGAACAGAGAGTATTTTATTCAAAATCATAGTTTTAATGCTCGGTCCAGGCAGAACTTCAAGGAAATCACATCTAGGCTCTTGGCAAACCTGTCCATCACCTTGACCATACTTGCGACCAGCAAGGCCAGCCATCATTTGACACATGACTATTCTTGTACTCTATTGGTACTCACCCACACACAGACAGTTTGCAAAATAACCCAAATATACCATGGAGTTTTTCCACTAGTATCTCAGGGTGCCCCTTTCTTTGGGGCCCATGATGAGATAATTTTCTAAAAGCTAATCAAGAAAACCGCTCTACTGCTGTTAATGTTGGTTCTATTTCCTCACAGAAATGGATGAAAAAAGGCAGAAAAAGAGACAAAGGCAGACAGAGACTGTCCATTGAAGACAGCAAGAATTAGCTAAAATCATGAAAGCTATGTTTAGTAAGTGAATTACGGCACAGATGTAAGAATGCCTAATTCTTCCCTTTTACTGGGTATCTAGCAACGTCACAACCTCCCATTTAACTGTAATTAATTGATTTTCTACTCTACAGAAATAGTAAAAAATACACCATCTCTCCAAATGTTAATGAAATTTAATCTCCGACCTAGGAAGAATAATTTTATGTGTTCTCCTAATTAAGGTACATTACTAGTTTTACATAAATCCCTTCTGACTAACTTTTAGAAGGCTTTTACAGGGTCTCATAATGGGTAGATTTTCAATTTTTTAATCACTGCTTGGAATTCAAAATCAGTTTTCTGACTATGGAGTTAGCAAATAAAAATTAATTAAAATTTAACTTGAATGTTCATCACATATTCCTGTAAGTAGATAAGGGTTCTCCTCTTTCAGTTTCTCAGAAAGTACTGAGGCTACAAAATCCTCCTCTGATAGATTTCTGTGGCTCCACATGCTTTGTCTTTCCCTTTTTTCTAAAAGATTAGCAGAACTTACTTGCATATTGGAAAAATCTTGTATTCTTATAAACTTAAATGACTAAGAACTATGCTGTGACTCAAATCCCTTATGCTGTAAGTAAAATCACCATTGTTCCCCTTTCTGAATCCATTAGAAGCAAGCAAGATGTGGGTAAAGAAAGCACTGAATAAGAAATGGGTTGAGGCCCTTGTGAAATTAGGTTATTAAGAATCTCAACAAACTGATCATAAAATTCTTCCACTAAGAGTGAGGTCTCTTGTGTAGCACAGGCAGTTTTATATTTTGCTCAGAAAATTTGAAGATTACACTCCTCTTCTATTAGAAATATCACTGATGGCAGACATACATTAGCCTATCCTAACATAAACCCACACTCCTTATTTATTTATTGTATTTAATTTCCTAGATACTGCCTAACAAGGCTGTCATTTGCAAAACTGTGTGGTCTGTGTATCTCATGGAGGATGTCTACACCAGTCTATAGATAATATCTCCCATGACATATGTAAGTAATGGCTAGAAAATCCAGTAAAGGTATTATTAGAAGTTGAAGGGTAGATTTTATGTATGTGAACATTCCCACAGAACTTCCAATATTATCAAGGAATGAGAAAGTTATTAACTAAGCAACTACAAAACTGCAATATGATACCATTAAAATATCCTACTCTGTATACTATGTGTTTCAGTACAAGAGACAGAGTTATTATACTTAATGCTTACAAAACATTTTTAATCTTCGCAAAGCTTTAAAAACAATTAAATCTCACAATGTGTCTGACCCACAAGTTATAGCTCTGAATTTCTAGCTTACATCCTTATCCAAACCTCTCACTCCTAAATGCCTTCTTTCTCATAGAAACAGATCATAGATATGCACATATTCTTGCATGTGCACTTCTAACTGTTAAAAAAGTTCCCTGGCTTCAACTCATGCTGCATTCATCAGCATTGTCAGGCTCAGCTGTTTTCACCTGCAAATGTCTTGATAATATTAAAATAATATAATTCTTGGTTGGGGAAAATAGGAGGGCTCCGCCTTTCTTCCTCCTAATTTTCTTTGCCCAAAAATCATGCATTCCATTTCACAACAGTCCAACAATACAAAGAAAAAAAGAGCACGATTGCTTTTACATTTCTGCATATACTATAGCTGCCACACTTTTAGTTTAAGAAATTCAGGACACACCAGAAAGTTTATCCTTGCAAGCAGTTAATAGGTCGTAATCTAAAAAAAAATAAATTTGACTTGAGAAAAAGCTTTTATATTAGAATATAACGTAAACGGAGAGCAAGGTCATTTCAGTGTATGGTATGAAAAGAGAATTTAAAATATAAAATCTCATCTTCCTACTAATACAGCAACATCTATTTCTATGTACTTTTGAATTTTTACTTTCAACCACTCTCGACTTAGATAATAACCAGACTCATTAGTATTACTCCTGTTTGACAGCCAGGTTTGTTTGTTTCCAGTTGTGTCTGGCAGAATGACATGGTAATGAATAATGTACACAGTACAGAAGGAAATTTTTTTTTTAATATTTCAGCTTATGTTACCGTCCTACTACCAGTTACTGACAGGAAATATTATCTAAAGTAAGCAATGATACCAAGACAAGGTTTTTCAGCAATATGTTGTATTATTTCTGAAGTTTCTTCTAAGTTTCTTCTTCTAAGTCACTTTTTGAGACCCCCTAGATACAATAAACAGGCATTGCACTTACAGCCAAGGCATTTTTTTATTATACTAATTGTCCAAAATGAATGCTGAAAATGAAGGAGTTCCAAGAGAGACAGAAGACAAAATGCCATTATTCTTTGGTGTAGTTCATACAGATTATACACAGAAAATCTTGCCAGTAAGTGAAGCAAGACAGTCAATACAGTTGATATATTAAGTAGGAAAACAGTTTTTTGAATGGACTCATAGCAGAAACCAACAACAAAAAATCCACTTATCTTTTTATGACTTTTCTAATTCACTATAGTCAGTCTTACTGCAAGTCATTCAATTGTAACCATTTACAGTACAGCATAGGTTTATATAAGCTCCCGTTACCAGAATTAAGAAAGAAAATCCTTTCCCCTTCATTCACAATTGCTTGGGCATATTTGTTTTAGATCCACACTACTAAAAATTATTTCACTCACGTACATATGTTTAATTACAACTCTCCTTTTTTTTTTCCCTGTTGAAAGTAGCTGAATCTCATTCTAAATCCAAGATTAAGAAGAGTCCACTAAATTAATTTTCTTCTGTAACACTTTCCCAACGCTTATTTTAATGCCACTTGCCACACAGCACTGACTTGGGTTAGGAAAAAAATCACCCAAACTGAAGGTTAAACAATGCGTTTGCAACTCTAAGACTACTGTAAAAATAAAAAAATGTCAAATCTAAGGCAAACATTAATCAAACATAAATTATGTTGCCTACTACTATGAGATG